AAAACACCTCGATTCCAGCAATTACTAACAGATATAATGAGGTTCAATAGTATATATATATATAGAATGAAAAGTAATAGGCTATTTATCTCACGCATAGTAACAGCACAAATACCTACAAAACGGTAACTGTTGTATTTTGTCTTGATTGGTTTCTAGAGTCTAATATGAGCATGTTCAATAATTAAATGATATACAAAGGTCATGATGTGTGACGATATTGTGAAAAAGCATTTGTGGAGCAATACAATATGTCTTCTTATTTACTGTATTTATCAAACAGTAAGCCCATGCTTGGTAATAAGTTCATTAACATATATTGCTGCCAGGAAGAAATGACAACAAAATCTTTTTCATTGTCCTGTAATAAGCCCATCCCCCTACTTTTAGTAAGAGAGTATCGGAGAGTCCCCTGGGCTTATTGCAGGATAAATACAGTATTACAAATGTACTCATGACACATTTACTTGGTACATGATATTATTTGAAGGACACTATAGATGACAATGAATTTTGAGAATTATTCAAGCACTGAACTGTATGCATTTCAATTCTTACATATTTACCACTTTTGAAATAAATTAATATCATAGAAATTAAAATTGCTTATGTCAGCATGACAACCCCAGCTAATAGTATGGTATCTGAATGGTTATACACACTTGTGATAAGATGACACTCAAGATACATGTATATGATAGGACTTGCAAAGACCATGATGGAGGATGCATATTAGGAAGACTTTTTCAATACAATGCACAGGTAGTACATTTAAATGACATAACATTTAGATGATATCATATTGGAAGAAAAATGCTTTCAGATGATGACACACTTAAAACTAATGAATGAATCCATTTAGATGACACATCAATTCAGGTCTTGTATTGATGTGAGTAGATAACACTAAATTTTGAAGACAAATATATGTAAATGACCTATGTGTACATTTGCATGCTGATACTAATCATTCAAATGACGCTATATTTAGCCACTTTGCATACTATTTTCATGACTTCGGGAGTCACAATGTTAAAACACCACAAAACATGCTAATCTATCAGTAATGTGATATGACACACCACATAATGTTCAACTGAAACACTGTATTAAGATGACGCTATTTTAAGATGACACCACTTATAAAACATTTCTTTAAGTTTTCCTTTAGGTGACCCTACATTATTTAGACAATGTGACACACAACATAATGAATCAATAAAGTATGTCATTACTAGTATACGTCTGTCATATATTCTGTTACATTTAGATATTTTATGTAAATGACAAAAAATAGACTACATAACAATCTAGTTAATTTCTTGCATGAAAAAGTTCCTTTGAGTTTAAAGTTCATCTGGCTTATATAATGTACAGGACTGGTAGAGGCTGTTCTTTCCGCACCCTTATATGGTGAGGGGAAGACTCAAGTTCACAATTCATGAAATGATTAGGTTATTATGTCATCATGGTAAGTTGCTCCAATTCATTATAGTGATATCGTTTATTTGCAATGAAAAGTAAAATGGTACCCTATACTCGACTGGGTCAAATGGTATTATGCAGGTAGCTCAATTGGTTAGTGTCAATCTTGAGTTCTGAGGTATCTGGATCGAAACTCATTAATGGCTCCTAATGCAACAGCAAAGGAAAAAAACAATGACCAAATGAGAATTCATGCTATGATGTCATAATAATCTATTTCCATGGCATATATGTCTACATACAGTTTTAACACCGACACAGTAACTAGAGTAGTGTTCTGAAAAATTGGATTACCACTAGTTCAATTTTAAACTTATAACATGGGCAGAATCAACATAGGCAGTCAATCATCACATCAATGACATTCTTTTTTCCCTAACGTACAATGTAAAATGTAAAATCATTTCATGTTCAAATAAATATTGCCAGCTAATGTATATAGGTTAGTATGTGGGTCATTTCAATAGCCAAAGTTTCAACAAAGTTGACATTTAAACATTACACACCAGACACTTATAATCTACATATGTAGCTGTCAAAAGCCAGATGTTGGGGCCAGATGAACCTCATGCAGGCTCAGCTAGGTTAGTTTTTTATTACCAACAGACCAAAGGTAATATATATACAACATGTTTTTGCTTTACATTGAATTATTGAATATATTCGTATCTGGATGGTGCAGACTATATTACAAAGCATGGACTCACAGCTTGACGTACATATAATATACATTTGTACACATGTGTGTAGATCACAACAATAGCACGGTATAGGTAATGTAACTTTACGTCACCAATGAATTCCCACGGGCGGGACACTTGTCATAGCGTGATACACCGTTCAGTCGATCATTCGGACATGAATGTGATGTAGGACTGTTACTTACCTTGGATGCTGTGTATATATCCCTACTGTCCGATCCGTGAACGTACTCCCGAACTAGTAGGTCTTAACTCGTGACGTCAGCTAGCAACATGATGCCACAGACTTAATGCAGTTGTCAAGTAAACACCCGAGAGCACCCGAAATGTATCATCGGTGTTTTTCATATATGTTGTGCAAAAACCCTCGTTCCTGTTATTGCAAATAGTAAGATAACATGCCTGGAAACAATTTAAGAAATCTATAAAATATTCTCTCATATATACATTAAAAATATTACCACGAAAGGAAAGCGAATATGTTCAATTATTACTCAATATTATTTAGGACACCGGTAACGTTAAATCGTTTGTCATGCGGCAGTATTGCAAGAGTTATCTCTCTTGGCCTGTATTTTGACTATCGTAAAAAATCACATAACGTATCAATTGATCAAAATAATTGCTTATCCATAGAATCATCGTGTACCATACATGTAATGTGAGGTAAATAAAATATTACTCCTTCTTAACCACTTGACAGTATCCTTGCAAAACAAAAGCCATAAATATAAAGCTGTAATGTATACAGTTCCATCACTAAGAGAGTGAAACATTACATGTAATACACAGGTAATACCACACCTATGGTAATCTTGTGTCTCATATTGCCCAAGCGTAATGTCAGTATGGATACCATTATGATGGCTTTAGACTGAGTGAAATATATCCATTATTCCTCATAACCCTATTAATGTTCAGTTTGCTTTCCATAAACTTGAACCAAACAAGTTCAAAAAGCTATTAACATATAGCTATAGAACAACATCACATTACCATAGCGTTAAATTATGCTAAAATGTTCAGAACCCATTCTTGTTTCAATTACCAATTTTATCGGCAGATAATTATAGATGAGGTCAATCCAAAGAGTTCTGGCTACTGAGTTGATACAACTGACATCCTGTATTGTCAGTGTGAAATCACGGACTTAGATAATTCCGTGGTGAAATATAGAACCTCATATTTCATAACCTGAAATCATCAGGTGTGTAATAAATTGTATGACTGACCTGAGTCAGAAAACAGATGAAAAACTAAGAGCTTACAATATTCCCTTGAAACTTAGCTATGACAGTCATAAAGTACATACAAAGTTGAAATGTAGAATGTTTTATTTTATAATTAACAACAGCAAACAGATTTCTATGCATTATCACAGTTGTCATTAGTTTCCTGAATGTAAAAAAACGAACAACAAAACCATGAAACTAATATCCAATTATCAGGCATAGTACAAAGTTAATGGAGCCAAGTAACAGTTGATTTTAATCAGATTGCAATTATACCTGGTATCTATTTCATTTCACATTTGATTTCTAGCTATACTGATGGAGTAATGGTTTTATCAGAAATAACAGTGAATATATACAAACAATAGTCTTATCTAACATAACAAATACATGGGTGTGTAAACATTTCTAGGTGATCATTTTTTATCTGATCATTGTCCAATAAGTACATATGCCATTTTTTTCCAATAACTTTCCTAAAATACAGCTGTAGTGATGTCATAATTATACCTGTATTTCAGAAAGTACAGTAATATCGATTAAGAGCAATATACAAAGATACAGTTGAGACATGTTATCAACACAAGAAAAACTACCAAGCTGTTTTCATTTTATTTTCCTATTTTGATTTTTTTAACAATATTGTTTGACAGTTAATAAAATCCAAAAATACAAACGTGAAAGATTAAAAAATACACAATCACAATCTATACAAACATGATTTAAATATATGAATTTATATCATTTAAAGACCCACAATCCCAAAATTACAGCAACAAATCATATGACTTTGTGGTGAAAAATCAAAGTTGATAACTAGTAAAAAAAAAAATAGAATCTGAAGTTTAATTAAGAAAAATAGCCGATATACTTGTTATGCTGACCAGGGAACCGAACCTCCTTTATAGATGGTGACTCTTTCACAAGTTATGGTCTGGAATGTCCTTGACCTTTGCCTTCCAAAATGGATGTCAGTACATCATAATGTTTTGTATTAGAAGTGAGATATCTAATTTTAGTAACATTGATAACTTGAATATACTATGAAACTTCATATTCTAGTTACTATGTTCTACCAACTTCTTCAAGTTTCAGGTAGAGACTGATAAATCTAATTGTCAAAATAAAAGAAAAATTCTGTACATGGAATATCTTACAGGATTTTCCATTTCAGGTGAGATTTATGAAAATCGTCATGATTTTTAATTGTAGATGACCAGAGATATTCATTAAACTTTTTTTTTTTTGACACTTGTTTCATAATTCTCATATGAAATGGAAACAAATGTAAAACTCTGTTATTACATAACCAAAAAGCCTTCTTACAAATATCAGTACAAACACATTTTTCACAGGATGACTTGAAATAAAACAAAAAAAGGCATTTTGAAAACATTTTTCATAATGTTGTTGAAGTCAAAATGATTTCATTGACATATTTAGTCAATAATGTCCAAGTGAGGTAATAACGAAGCTACTACAAATACTTTAATAACAAATTTGATTGCACTCGAAAATGAGCATATTACAATTGTAATGGTCATACATAAAACACAAAAACAAAGCTCAACAATAAATACAGAATAAATAGTATTTTATGGCAGTCTCAAGTAATCACATTAAACTCATTCACCCCTGAAATTTCATAATGAACTATTCCAACCTTTGAATTGGAAGAGTTCAAATGTGTCTTCATGGGTGAATGAGTTAAAGACACCTGATATAGTAATGGTCTATAGAATACCAAATTAAGCACTATTAATAATAGTTGTCATAAAATCTTAATACAGCAATCTCAATAATGATTCTATGATTTGCTTATAGCCATCACGACCAAATATTTCACATAGAATCCAACTTTTATTAATCATACCTGGTACATGTGTAATAGGAATGTTACAAAGTGAAATAATATCTGTAACAAACATGCTACAAACTTTCTGGTTCTCCAGAATAATACTGGGTAAGTCTACTGCTGTTTAATGTTCCTACTTAAACCCCTTTCTGAAAACGTTCAGGTTACCCTAACTTATTAATTACAGTATAAGCTTTCCATATGTAAATTAAAGTCATAGGACTTCAGATGATGTTGATGACCACTAAATAACCTTTTTCTGCCCCAGAACATTTTTTTAATTGTACCCAGTCTGAATCACACATTCCACATATTAAACAGTAGCTGCCAGATAAAGGATGTGAGTGTTGTTTCTTCAGGACATCAGCTGCAGGAGCTTGGCTGTCACAATGCCTCCAGAAAACAAAGATGCCACCGCTGCCATTGAAGTCATGTTGAGAAGGCCCACTCCAGAAAGTCCATGGCCACTGAAAAATCACTTATACTTTATACATATACCCTCATTTAAAAAAAATAAAAATGCAACCTTGAAAGTGTTTCAAGGTCATTGTCTGAACAAACTTGAAGTTGTAAAGACATTTTATGATAAGAACTATTAATATGGATAAAGAGGCATCATTGAGTGTTTTGAGGTATACATGTACTAAGCCAATTGACACAAGTCTATCAATCAAGAGGGATGAAGAAGCATAGCCAGTTTATACAGTATCAGGGTTACCCCGAGGGTATTTAGAAGAATCCTGTCAATGATACCATAGAAGGAGCACGAACAAGAAGCATATAGAACAAAGGGTATTGGTATTTGCATGATCTCTTACAATGTGACATCCTAGTTATCATTTTTTTCAAAAATAAAAACATATTATCCTCCTTCAATAATCAAACTGACGACATTTGTTATACAGGATTATCCATATCAAAACAGTAGTGTTTTTTTCTGGGGATTTTTGCGGCTGACAATGGGCCCAATTTCCAATTGAAACAATTTCACATTTATGCCAAAATCCAAAAATTTGCAGTTTACTTCTTTTAACAATTTCCTTCTCAAAATGGGACAAAAAAGCCCTATCCCAAATTAATGGGGGAAAAAACACTGACTGAGTAAAAAACCAAGTGTTGTTGGAATCAGATGCTTTACTCACCTTGTGCAGCCCCCAGCCATCCTGGCACCAAAGATAATCATGAGACCCCCTAGAGATGCTACACCAGGAGAAACACCCTCCACAGTACCATACTGGCCTGAAGCTGTAGCAGATAAATAGGATCCTAAGGCAGATCCTCCAATAAATACTACCTGGGGAAGATAATGACATCACAGGTAAATCAACATATACTGTATACAAACATGTATAAATTATTTGATACAATTTTTGCTGTAATTTTACTTATTTCAAAATTCAAAAAATCAAATTTGATCTTTGAGTAAAAATCTGGCTAAGAAGGGCAACTCTGATTTCTGATCTTTAAAACAATAAGATGCATCTTAATCAGATACAAGTCAGCATCATTTAAGCAATTCTTTACATATTTCAATAGATTTCATATACCAACCTGCCACCAATTGGCAATTCCTTTTTTGAACTTGGTGAAATAAGGTGATAGTTTCTTCATTGAGTTGTTGACAATTCCCTGTGACATCACAGTACAGTAGCACCTACTTCCTCCTGTATCAACAAATATGTATCAAAATGGACAGAAAATATTCAACTTAACAATATGTTTTCATGGTATAGTCATCAAATAAACTTCAGATTGACAAGTAACTGATACACCTTTTAACCTGTTGTAAAACAGGTATTTGGTTTATATAATACATAGAACATCCCCTGGAAGTTGTAATTACTTCTGACAGACATGCTTTAAGAAGTTTTGAAACACTTTGAGTGGTTATATATACCCTGTACCTGGAAAAATAAAACTGTGAGCTAGCATATTCAGGGACATAATAATAACATGCTAAACATGTTCCTACATCAAATGCTTATTCTATTTGGGCAATCTAATTGTGATTGTCAACTGAACAACAGGTTAACTATTTATTAGTTACATTGTGCCTGTATTCAATTTAGACAGCCTCTGTCCATGTATGACAAGTGAAAGCAATTTTAAAGTAATATTGTTATATACTTTAATATAATAATTGTATTAAATAATATCAAAAAGTCAAGTTAATTCTATATTTTATTATATTAAGTCTGTTAATGATAATGCTTACATTTAAAATCAAAACCTCTTAAACTCTGTGTGATTTTCATGTTTTCTAATTATATTTTTATGGTGATACAAACCTAAGGTATCGCCAAGTATCAGTACCAGAGGAACTTGGAGGCACCCAATCAAACTTCCACAGAGGTAGGGGTGCCAGCAGGGATTAGCTAGCACAGCCTTGCCAACTAAGTCAGATGAATGCACCTGTTTTAAGAATATAATGACATATACTAATGTACGTGTATACATGTATATGAAGTTTTACTTGTACACTATGATTTGTGTTTAAGTTTTCTCCCTTAAAATTATTTTTATACATTAAAACCATTATCAATCTTGTGTACCTTTTCAATCTGTCATCAAGTAGATAACAGCTAAACACCGTCTAAACTGACATTCAGAAAAGCTACATAATGTATACTAAAATTTTGACAGTGTGGAAATGCTCATGCTTTTATCAAGTCAATCTGCTGTTACAATGCAATGTCACCTGATAATGAAATGTGTCATCAATTAAATTCTTACACTTAGATATCAGAATTACAACCATGCCCACAGAAAATCAAGACATCCTATTCCCCTGAATACCTGGAGTCTTAAATGGATTAATTTTATCTCCTATACATAGGTATGTGAGAATACTTACTGCAATTTCATCATGCCATGGGTACATCATCTCAAGGGAAAAAACAACAATTCCCAGGATGGAGAATACAGGGAAAGAAACAATGAAGGGAGGCGAGCCCATCAGCTGGTACAAACTACAAAACACACACAAATGATCAATTGCTACCAGTATTCATATGATAGACTGATAAGTTCTTGGGATCAAATAATTTTTAAAGAAATAGTTTTACACTTGTTGTGCATGTATTAAGAGTTGTTATATAAATTTTCAAATAGTATAAATAATGTTCATTAGAATCATTCCTGTTAAGCAGTTGTATATTTCAAATAATATGGTACAAAAAGTACCATTACATTATGGTACTAAATTTCCATTTTGAATATGGCTTTATAAATTAAGATCATTTGACATATATATCACTTTGATTCATGTTGTATTATGGACTGGATCACATAACATCCTTACTGTAACCAAATCACTCTAACTTTGTATTTTGTTAAAAGCAACTGTCTACGTACAAGTGGTATTTGATAGGTGTGCTAGGTTTTGTCAAGTTGGTCACGTAAGGCTCCATTAGACCATAGAGTACTGTTCCTGCCAAAGCTCCAGCAAGTGTAAACACTACAAATAAAAGGTTAAACAGGCTTTCAGGTCTTAGACATCCTTGTGACAAATTCAAGAAAAATATAGAACCCCAAAAACTTGAGATGATAGTTAACCCCAAAAACTTGAGATGATAGGTCTATGTTATTGTAACATAGATTTCTACGTAACAGATCTACTTTAAGTTTATAGACCAGAGACCATGTCAGTTACCAAGAAAATTTAACTTGTCTATTTAGTTCTTGATAACATGAAATTCAGAAATAAGTGTTTGATAACATGAAATTCAGAAATATGCATAACTATAACAAATGAAAAATACTTTTACACAACATTTCCCCCTAAATGTTCAACTTACCATTGAATCATATACATCTGGAGTGAAGTGATTCCCATAGACATACATCATTTTTCATGGCTGTGTTTATCGTAAAGTTTGAACACGGCTATTGTATACCTTCATGGGACTCATTTCTCAGGTTCATGGTAAGTACATTAGAAAGGCCTTCATAAAGTTGTGTTTATTGTATTATCCACTGCAGGGTGTACAAATTCATGTCTCATATACTTCTGCAGGCAGATTTTGCAAAGTTTTACTTGCCGGAAAATATATTTCCATGGTAAAAAATAAATAAAATGTTTGTTTGTAAAATGGAAAATTATATATAACCAATTTGCAATGAAGACTAGTGTTGTGTTAAAGTGCCCACTTTCTTAATTAAGGCCGTAAAAATGTATAATTGGTAAGCTTAATAACAATTATAATATATATTATTTGTTTCAAAAATTATTACCTCTTTCATAATCATTTCTTAAATGTGATTTGAGCATTCAACAATTTGTAAAATGACTTATTTTAATGCAAGAACAAATTAAAGCATAACACATGCATAAATTAATGGGGGAAAATATCCATGTATCAACAGCCGTGAAACTATTAGTCTCCCCTATAAATTCTAGATGTTTGTGCTCTTGAGCATCAGATCCTAGACTTAAAGGCACAACATAACGTGAACTCTCACCTGCATTGTGAACACCAGCTCCAATCTGTATACCAACAAGGCCAGGACACTAGAAGTAAAAATTCACCAATTATTAGATGTACAAAACATAAAAAAAAGTATTCTCACAAAATTTAGTAGTGGTACCATACTATTAACACTGTTGACATGTATAGATGATAGTGAAACATATGACGGTCTATTTATTTTGTAATGGTGCAGCTAGTCATTTGCAAAGAACCACTATTCAAGATTCAGAAATGAATTCTCACTTTAAATTCTGGCTAACAATTTTGTACATATATATACGGTGTTAATTGCATGTGTCGAAGATTACAAATTTGTTCAGCCAAATAATCACAATACAACATATCCTACATGAATCAACGAATTGTGAAGCTAATTTGTATACATGTACCAGTTTAAATAAACTACATGGTCATTGTGTTGTCAAAGGGCCTAGATATTGTTTTACCGTTCCAACAACAGCCATCCCTGAGCCGAGGATGAAAGCTCCTATAGAGATTCCAAAGTAGCCCTTCTTGTTGATGCTTCCAACAAAAGCTGCTCGTGACAAAAGGTACTTCTTTCTTGTGAATGGAAGAATAGCAAGCACCGACAGGAAAAACATACCTATTAAAGAATAATTGCATTGTATGTTTTTCTATCAACGTGAAATTAAACAATCCTGTTTGGTTCTGTATTTAGCCAACCCATATATATATATATAAGTATATTGTCCACTTATTGGGTACTATCATTCATATAAAATAAATACTTCATTATCACTATAATACATGCATAATTTTCAATACAGTATCAACCAAACATAAAAATGTTCTTATCGAATTAAAACGTTGATTATTGATGCAAAAATATATTTTTCAAAAGATTTTTCAAAAGATTTTTTTCTAATTACACAGTATATGAAAGCCATAGTTAATCAAATATCATACTCACCAACAGTAAGTGATGTCAAAAACACCTTCATCATTATAAACTTGCGGAATAGCATCTGATTTGTAACAACTGCAGGCTCAAAAACTGCAACAAATATCATATTGACATAATAATAACACGAAAGTATCATCAAACACTCCTTGTAAAAACAAATATATCTAAGCTTACTGTAAGTTTATATGTATCTGATAAAAACAAAGCCTTGTCGTCTTAGATTTTTTTTATTAAAATAAAAGCCATGAAGTATTAAAAAGGTAGCCTATTAATTTATTCCTATAATACGGCCTATTTATGAAATAATGTTTTCTAAACACATTTTTTTCCTGTGGGTCAAGGGCGATAACTCCGCAACACTGCATATCACGTTTACATCTAGCCTATACTACATTGAATTAAGATGAGGAACACAACATAAATACTTTGTCATTTTATGACATACATAATAGGCCTAGCAACATATTAATTACCCCTTGATTTTTCAACTGCAATTCCAAAAACTAATCCACACAGTGCCGCAACGCTGCCTTTCAAAACGGTCATCAGGGAAAATCCATTTTCTTTGGAAGCCGGTGGCGTTGCTTCTAATCGTGAAAAGTTGGTCCCCATGTCTGTGCCGTTTGTCTGCGATCGTGTTCTAGGACGGGTTGATGCCATTTCGATAACTTTGAAATTCACCGCACACCGCCAATAAACATGGGAATGTGCCAGGCTCAATATCGTCGTCTTTTGTTTACACTGCGGATGACTTGCAGAAACAGATGGTGCGTGACGTATAGTTAAATCTTAAGGGCGCGAAAACTCAAAGTGTCTTTTGGCGACAGCATGTTCCTTTTGATTTCAGTAAAAAAATATTCTCAATTTTTAACGTTTTGGAGTCGTTGTCATTGGTAGAGCAATGGAGGCAGTTATCGACAGTCTAAGCTTCAAACATGTTTTTTCCAGTTTACCGTTTTGCGTAAATTATTTTATGATGGCATTTCGAAGAAGTCAGGAAACGTTCTCCATTTTCATCATCTGCAATAAGCGTACATGTGACGAATCGCAGGAGAAATCATTGTTTTGGTGGCATTAATGACAGGGGCAGTTATCGACAGGTGGAGGTAGTTATCGACAGCTAAATTAAAATGTTCATTATTTCTATTATTAATCTCATAATACATTCATTTGTTCTGACGTGTGTCCAATTGCTTAAAAAGGTATAAACATGTCAAGTGATATGTCAAGTCATAAATGTAAACAAACACGCTCCCTTTTCTACACGCATGCGCAAACAGTCACCGTCACAGCATTTTGATCAAACACATTTTCTGGTTCCCATTCAGTATGGTGTCCAACCCAAATTTCAAATTATTTTGATCCCCAGTGATGCATTCCAACAGCCCAAATTTTTTTTAATTATGATGCATTTTATCCAACAATGATAGAGATCAGAAATATAATTCAAGAAAACATAATTGAATCTTCTTAAAATAATCATTGGGGAAATGTTTTTAGGTTCTAATGTTCACAAGATAATTAGTTATATACCTCCCGCCTAACAGAACAATTTTCATCAACATTTAGTGCGGCAGTTACCGACAACCCTATTTCCGACCTTAACAATACCCCGGATGTAGATAATACGCTGACAAACGTTGCAGACACTTCATCGGAGTGAAGTTGGATTACACCATTAAAAATTGTGCCGAACCCCAAAAAGCAGTCAAAATAAATCTGCTGCACCCATTGCAATATTTGGAATCTTTATCTTTCTTTCTACTTCTAACTACCAAGGTAACTTTTATTTCCTAGCACCTTGCTTGGTAACACCTCACTTTTGGCCTAATGTTGAGCGTTCGCAGGTGAGGAAGGCAATGGGTTCTGTCAGGCTCGGACGATACCAAAGTCCTTAACAATGGTAGTTGTTATTCCCTGTTTAACGTTCAACATTGAGGGGAAAGGCAACATCTGGTTCACCCATCGTCAGTAATAATGTGACCGTGTGGAATGCTGTGCTGGGTGCCTTCGGCATGGTAATTCCAGTGAGATAGCACTATTAAGTCGGCATCAGATCCGCGCTATCCCAAGGAGGCAAGCATGCACGCCAACATGCCCTGTCTCCTGCATACACACACGCAAGCACGCATACACTACACACAAATCGGAGGCACTTCCTTAAATGACCTTAGCTGTTAATAGGACGTTAAACAAAATTAAACCAAACCAAACCTCAGCTGACCTCAGCTGGTCTCATACTTGCCAACTCTCCCTATTAATAGGAGGGAGACTACCGATTCAATAAGTGAACTTGCTAAACTTTTTAATTCCTTTTTATAATTCTTAGATGTAATGATTTCATCTGGGAGAACAACTGAAAATGTCAGTTTAAAGTGCTATTTTGTCTTTAGGGGGTAGTTCAAGTTACAGGGACCTAAGAATGTGGTACAGCTATATATTTAGACCTAAACTAAGGTGTTTAGAGTAATTTTACATGTTTTAGGGGTTTCAATCAACTTTCCGTAAAAATGCCACCCCAAATAAGTTTACAGTAAAACCTCCTTATATCGCCACCTTCTTTCCCCTGTGATTTTGGCTGTATAACAAGTTTAGCGGTATATCAGGTTTACAGTTTAAAACCAAGTGTTCACACACCAACTGAACTTATACTTTAAAAAATCATGATTTACTTCAGTATAGGTTTATTTTCAAAATTGTTATTTAATGTATCAAATTGATGAGCATGCAAAACATACAGCTGATTACCTGGTCAGTTGGCAGTCACATGTAACAATACAATGTACACATGTATGTAACAATCCTGTCCTCGGCATATACCTGCATGTACTCAATTTAAATTGGCGGTATTTGACGTTTGCTTTGGGAATATGATGGCGGATGGCGGTCATGCGGGTTTGCAAGCATTACAACATGTGCATTAACATTGGGGAAATCCGTAAATGAATGGCGGTTAATAATGCGGGTTTGGCGGTTTTATAAACGGGTGGCATTACAACAAGGTTTTTACTGTATATCATCATAGGGGTGGCATTTTTACCTAAAGTCGATCTCAACCCCTAAGATGTGTAAAATAACTCTCGACACCATAGTTTAGGTCTAAATATTGCTGTAACAAATTCTAAGATCCCTGTGGACTTGCCCTTATTATCATACAATTTCATAACCTCAAGAACATTGAGTACATGTATTTGTCATCCACCGTTTTTCCTTCATTATTTCATGTAATTCTTAATAACTTTTGCTTTTAAAGGAAATTTTACATTCCAAAAGAAACTTTCTTAATTCTTGAAGTATTCACCTGCAAATCTATATGTTACTATTTTTTAGCCTGTGGAATATTGCCTTGTCAAAATATTGTGACTTAAAACAGAATTTTTGGTGTAAAAATCTAGGTTGGTCTCTGATTTGTGTAGATCACTAGATTTTTTTTCTATTTAACTATTGTGTATAGATCTAGTTTAAAGCACTAATTCTTTCAATTCGTCTATACAAGGGTAAGATGACACTAAGGTCACAAATAGCAAGAGGCCCAGGGGGCCTGTATCACTCTCCTGGATAATAAGGCAACCATGAAAAATTATTCTTATTACATATAACAACTATTTGGCTCTGTCTCTCGGCAACACCTGCAGTCCCTCATGAGATCTCTTCCTTCTGTCCCTATGAATTGGGGTGGATTTTAAACATCAATTTCCCCTATTGGGCCTGCTCCCTAAAAGCAACCCTTTATTTATAAAAAATTAAGTCGCCTTTGCCCAAGGATGCTCTACACAGAATTAGGTTTAAATCCCTCCAAAGTAACTAAAAGAGAATGATTTTAAACATTTATTGCTATGTTCCCTCTAACTGGACCCTTATTCTTTGTTCCCAGGGAACCATACTATCTGTTTAAACAAATTGATGCTCTGGACCAAATTAACAGAAGAAGGATATTAAATATTAACCACAATTTATCCTATTGAACCCTACCCCTCTGCCCTAAGGGTGTGTGTGTAGTGGTGGTGGTGGTGGTGGTGGTGGAGGGGGGGGGGGCACGTACACCCTCTCTGTTTATACAAACATTTATTTGGATAAAATCACTCCAATGGTACAGAAGTTGAAGGAATTTTAAAGATTTAAACCTCAAATTCCCCTTTCGGGCCCCACCCCCACTCTGCACCCAGAGGGGCCACACCTGATTGTACAAAAAATAGTTCTCTTTCCCCAAAGATGCCCCAGGCCAAATTTGGATAAACCCCCTCCAATAGTACACTAGAAGGAGATTTAAACCCCAAATTCCCCTATTTGGCCCCGCCCCTCTGCACTAAGAGGGGTAACACCCTCCATTTATTCAAAATTTAGTCCCGTTTGCCCAAGGATATATTCCAGGCCAAATCCATAAAGCTGTTCAGGACTAGTAGCGTTTTAAAGGAAAAGTTTACGGACAACACTGTACGGCATAAGCTCACCATGGTCCTTTAGACTAGGCAAGCTAAAAATGACAATTATCGGATTCTAGAAATTAGCTCGCCCCTGCTTTATACAAAGGTAAAGGTGCAAATGAAGTTTCAGAATGCCTGCAATGTTTACAATATCTACTACCAGGTATATGATGTGTCCAAAAGACAACACACAAGTCTTATCCGACATCGGAAAAAACACCTTCTTTTTAAATTACCAATACATTCACAAGTGCATGTAGCTGATGTAGATCATGTGTACACAAGTGCATGTAGCTGATGTAGATCATGTGTACACAAGTGCATGTAGCTGATGTAGGTAGCTGATGTAGATCATGTGTACACAAGTGCATGTAGCTGATGTAGATCATGTGTACACAAGTGCATGTAGCTGATGTAGATCATGTGTACACAAGTGCATGTAGCTGATGTAGATCATGTGTACACAAGTGCATGTAGCTGATGTAGATCATGTGTACACAAGTGCATGTAGCTGATGTAGATCATGTGTACACAAGTGCATGTAGCTGATGTAGATCATGTGTACACAAGTGCATGTAGCTGATGTAGATCATGTGTACACAAGTGCATGTAGCTGATGTAGATCATGTGTACACAAGTGCATGTAGCTGATGTAGATCATGTGTACACAAGTGCATGTAGCTGATGTAGATCATGTGTACACAAGTGCATGTAGCTGATGTAGATCATGTGTACACAAGTGCATGTAGCTGATGTAGATCATGTGTACACAAGTGCATGTAGCTGATGTAGATCATGTGTACACAAGTGCATGTAGCTGATGTAGATCATGTGTACACAAGTGCATGTAGCTGATGTAGATCATGTGTACACAAGTGCATGTAGCTGATGTAGATCATGTGTACACAAGTGCATGTAGCTGATGTAGATCATGTGTACACAAGTGCATGTAGCTGATGTAGATCATGTGTACACAAGTGCATGTAGCTGATGTAGGTCACTGATGTAGATCATGTGTACACAAGTGCATGTAGCTGATGTAGGTAGCTGATGTAGATCATGTGTACACAAGTGCATGTAGCTGATGTAGGTAGCTGATGTAGATCATGTGTACACAAGTGCATGTAGCTGATGTAGGTAGCTGATGTAGATCATGTGTACACAAGTGCATGTAGCTGATGTAGGTAGCTGATGTAGATCATGTGTACACAAGTGCATGTAGCTGATGTAGGTAGCTGATGTAGATCATGTGTACACAAGTGCATGTAGCTGATGTAGGTAGCTGATGTAGATCATGTGTACACAAGTGCATGTAGCTGATGTAGGTAGCTGATGTAGATCATGTGTACACAAGTGCATGTAGCTGATGTAGGTAGCTGATGTAGATCATGTGTACACAAGTGCATGTAGCTGATGTAGGTAGCTGATGTAGATCATGTGTACACAAGTGCATGTAGCTGATGTAGGTAGCTGATGTAGATCATGTGTACACAAGTGCATGTAGCTGATGTAGGTAGCTGATGTAGATCATGTGTACACAAGTGCATGTAGCTGATGTAGGTAGCTGATGTAGATCATGTGTACACAAGTGCATGTAGCTGATGTAGGTAGCTGATGTAGATCATGTGTACACAAGTGCATGTAGCTGATGTAGGTAGCTGATGTAGATCATGTGTACACAAGTGCATGTAGCTGATGTAGGTAGCTGATGTAGATCATGTGTACACAAGTGCATGTAGCTGATGTAGGTAGCTGATGTAGATCATGTGTACACAAGTGCATGTAGCTGATGTAGGTAGCTGATGTAGATCATGTGTACACAAGTGCATGTAGCTGATGTAGGTAGCTGATGTAGATCATGTGTACACAAGTGCATGTAGCTGATGTAGGTAGCTGATGTAGATCATGTGTACACAAGTGCATGTAGCTGATGTAGGTAGCTGATGTAGATCATGTGTACACAAGTGCATGTAGCTGATGTAGATCATGTGTACACAAGTGCATGTAGCTGATGTAGATCATGTGTACACAAGTGCATGTAGCTGATGTAGATCATGTTGACATGTGTACCTCAGCACTTATTATTTCCCCTTTTTTTCTTAATTCAGTACTCATGATTTTCCTATAGTAATGTTTTATAATCTTCCAAAAAATGGTGGACAAAATGATGTTGTATATGAAATAAAATACAATGTCACATCATGTTACCATCATGTAAAAGGTCACCAAAAAGTGCAGAACCAGAGTATTACTGTTGGTCAATGATAAACTCTCTCAGAGGTAAAATATATATTTTTACAGTGACCTTCCTACATGTAACTTTTGTACACACATAATTTGTTTAGTGATCCTACATGAAAGAGTATAGGAGGAATGCTTTAGAATTTTAAGACAGACAAATGACACAGGCAAGCAAGGTTAAACAGACAAGGTGAATACTACTGTAAGCCACTTCCATATATGTTTACTTTATCTTATGAACTATTTCCATGGAAATTAATATTTGCAGAAAAAAATAAGATTTGAAATGAGCCTCCCTGCAAATTAATGCAAAATTAAAATGATTTCCAGCAGTATATCCCCCAGGGATATAAAATAACATAAGAGACAAGTCATATAAAACAGTCATTTATTAATATCACAATTATATTGTATCACAGAAACTGTGTGATTATGTCACAGAGAAAACTTTTCCCTCCATTTTAAACGATTTTCCTGCTTCACTGTTCTCTGGAAGTCTGGATACCAGTACCTAGAAAAGAATATTAAAAGTTGTAACGCTCTATAACAGTCCAGTTCACATTTCAAATTTAATTTGATTAATTTCATATATACGTTTGCCCTTACTTGGTTAAAACAGCAGTTCCAGGTAAATCATACTTTTTTTCTGGAAACTTTAGTCCAGTTATGTTGTGATCTTGCCCTTTGACCTTCCGCCTCAGATGGTATTGTACTGTCTCATTATGTCTAATTATATAAGTGAACATTTAAAGAAAGTCCTATCAAAATTATTCATTACCATCAACGAAGCAAGTGATTGATGTTTTAAATTGAGTGACATTTTTTTATGACTTTCATCTTTCAAAAGTTATAACTTTATACATGTATCTTACATACTGCTGAAGAAATACACACAAACCAAACGTAGGATATGACAGTATGGGATGAATAAAATTTGGGTGATACAATGTACATGTATTTCATTCGTGACATTGAGAAAATTCTTTAACTGAAATGACCTTGCAACATTAACCTTGGTCAAGTTGGACCTGAATCTTCATTTTTCTTCCTTAAGTCTAGATAAACATTTAGAGAAAGTCTTTTGATACAGCAATCCACTCCCCATTCAAGTAATATTCAAATGTAACCTTATGACCTTGCCTTTGGTGCTCAACCCTCATCCTTTACAGCCTATGTTTTGCTAAGCATCAATAAATATAACTTGAAAAATAGTAGCAAATGATATTATGCAATCCCAATCATTGGGAGACAGATCGGTTTTCTTAATTTTATTGTGTAGCAGACACATATTTTCCTCCATTTTCTCACACATACTGTCATATCCTTACCTTTGGTTTGTGTGTATCACTTCCCCAGTATCCAACACACATACTGTCATATCCTTACCTTTGGTTTGTGTGTATCACTTCCCCAGTATCCAACACACATACTGTCATATCCTACCTTTGGTTTGTGTGTATTACTTCCCCAGTATCCAACACACATACTGTCATATCCTACCTTTGGTTTGTGTGTATCACTTCCCCAGTATCCAACACACATACTGTCATATCCTACCTTTGGTTTGTGTGTATCACTTCCCCAGTATCCAACACACATACTGTCATATCCTACCTTTGGTTTGTGTGTATCACTTCCCCAGTATCCAACACACATACTGTCATATCCTACCTTTGGTTTGTGTGTATCACTTCCCCAGTATCCAACACACATACTGTCATATCCTACCTTTGGTTTGTGTGTATCACTTCCCCAGTATCCAACACACATACTGTCATATCCTACCTTTGGTTTGTGTGTATCACTTCCCCAGTATCCAACACACATACTGTCATATCCTACCTTTGGTTTGTGTGTATTACTTCCCCAGTATCCAACACACATACTGTCATATCCTACCTTTGGTTTGTGTGTATTACTTCCCCAGTATCCAACACACATACTGTCATATCCTACCTTTGGTTTGTGTGTATTACTTCCCCAGTATCCAACACACATACTGTCATATCCTACCTTTGGTTTGTGTGTATTACTTCCCCAGTATCCAACACACATACTGTCATATCCTACCTTTGGTTTGTGTGTATTACTTCCCCAGTATCCAACACACATACTGTCATATCCTACCTTTGGTTTGTGTGTATTACTTCCCCAGTATCCAACACACATACTGTCATATCCTACCTTTGGTTTGTGTGTATTACTTCCCCAGTATCCAACACACATACTGTCATATCCTACCTTTGGTTTGTGTGTATTACTTCCCCAGTATCCAACACACATACTGTCATATCCTACCTTTGGTTTGTATGTATTACTTCCCCAGTATCCAACACACATACTGTCATATCCTTACCTTTGGTTTGTGTGTATGACTTCCCCAGTATCCAACACATACACTGTCATATCCTACCTTTGGTTTGTGTGTATCACTTCCCCAGTATCCAACACACATACTCTCAGTTGTATGACCCCAGATCACCTCCACTGGAAGTACAACATATTTTCAAAGATGAAACATTTAATTTTGTGTTAAGATGATCATTTATCTTTTACATCATATTTCTTTTACTATAAAAAGACCATAAACAGATTGTACCTCTTTAAAAGAATCTGAGATTATAAAATTCTATAATTGTAAATTGAGGTGTCATATTTTAGCTGAAGATCAAGAACAAATTTCTTTTCATTCTAAATATATTTTCTGGATCAGTATACATACACATGATAGCTGAACCTTCTTCCTTGTCCTGTCTCAGTGCAAGTACCCCTCCCAACTTCTGTGTAACACTGGCTAGGTAGTCAGACTCTGTAACAGACAGTAGATAGTGCTACCATACTATACTCTAGACAGTGTTACCATACTACACTAAACACATAAGGCAGGGTTATTATTAGCTCACCTGGCACGAAGGGCCAAGTGGGCGTATGCCGTGGTGCGGCGTCCGGCGTCAATATTTTACTTTAAACAACTTCTCAATAACCAAAAGCCCTAGGGTGATGATATTTGGCCAGTAGCATGCTGGGATGAAGGGCTACCTAGTTTGTTCAAATGAATGCCCTTGACCCACTTTCAAGGTCACAGGGGTCAAATGTCTTAAAATCTTCAAAAAACTTCTTCTCAATAACCGAAAAGCCGAAGGTACTTATATTGGGGCTGTAGCATGCTGGGATAAAGGGCTACTAAGTTTGTTTAAATGAATAACCTTGATCCACTTTCAAGGTTACAGGGGTCAAATGTGTTAAAGTTTTTAAATGACTTCTTCTCAATAACCAAAAGGCCAAGGGTACTGATATTGGGCCTGTAGCATGCTGGGATGAAGGGCTACCAAGTTTGTTCAAATGAATGACCTTGACCCACTTTGAAGATCACAGGGGTCAAATGTGTTAAAATCTTCAAACGACTTGTTCTTAATAACCAAAAGGCCCAGAGTACTGATATTGGGCCTGTAGTATGCTGGGATGAAGGACTACCAAGTAAATGACCTTCACCCATATTCAAGGTCACAGTGGTCAATAAATGTTTAAATCTTTATATGATTTGTTCTGTATAACCAAAAGTTCCAGGGTAATGATATTTTGCCAGAAGCATGCTGGGTTGGAAGACTATAAACTCTGTTCAACCTAATGTCCTTGTTGGACGTTCAAGGTCACAGGCGTCATATGTGGTAAATCTTTTAATAGGTTCTTATGAATCAAACACTGATATTCTGCCAGTAGCTGTATTTAAGTCCACTTTTAAGATTACAAGTGTGAGATTAATATCAGGTGAGCGATGCAGGCCCATTGGGCCTCTTGTTACACTATATGGTACCTTCCTATAAAAAGGTCACAGAAGGCAGTGCTGACCCCCAGACTATATGATACATACCTAGAAAGTGGTCACAGAAGGTAGTGCTGACTCCCAGACTATACTATATGATACCTACCTAGAAAGTGGTCATGGAAGGCAGTGCTGACCCCCAGACTATATGATACCTACCTAGAAAGTGGTCACAGAATGCAGTGCTGACCCAGAGACTATATGATACCTACCTAGAAAGTGGTCACAGAAGGCAGTGCTGACCCCAGACTTTATGATACCTACCAAGAAAGTGGTCACAGAAGGCAGTGCTGACCCCCAGACTATATGATACATACCTAGAAAGTGGTCACAGAAGGCAGTGCTGACCCCCAGATTATATGATACCTACCTAGAAAGTGGTCACGGAAGGCAGTGCTGCCCCCCAGATTATATGATACCTACCTAGAAAGTGGTCACGGAAGGCAGTGCTGACCCCCAGACTTCCACTGTCCTGTGTCTGTACACACTCGGCACACTTCTGGGCAAACAGGGTTCGCATCAGGTGTTCTCCACTTCCTGTCAACATGTCAACAGTGGAATCTTACATATTATGGTACATATTATTTGTAGTGTGAAATCTCTATAACTCTATTAGCTTTAATGTAATGATATGAACGGGGTACAGATGTTTCGGTACTTGTTTAAGATGTTTCCGTACTTTCCAAAAGTTGTTTTGATGTTAAAAATAGACACTTTGACTAACATCTTCTCTAGATTTTTGTGTCCTGTGTGTTGCTGATTAAACATTTTAAGATTTTCTGCATTTTCCGTCTTCACAAAAAAGAACTGAAACATTCTATTCTTTAAAACTTCAACAGTTTGTACTGAAACGACTAAAATTCATATAAACAGGTTTTCTAGTTCAAATGAATTATGTATTTCTTTTACAGAAAGAATACATGGTAACAAGCTTAGATTTGAATGAATTTATAGATATATTAGAGTTTACTAGTATGTGTTTATAAAAATGAAAACCAAAATTTAATACCTGGGTACCAAATTCAAAAATCAGTTAATCATTAAATCTCACATAGCTTTGAATGTACAGTTTACAATGTGTGATTTTTTTGTGATAATGTGTTTTTTTCGAGTACATGTATAACTTTTATAATTACACTGTATTGGAATAAGTTGATTTGTGGAAACACATACATGCGTAAATATTTCTAGTAAAATAATTCTCTTCAGATCATATTTATGATGACTTATTATTGACAATGTTTTATATAATTACCTGATGTTGCAACGGCCACCCCTGCCTTTTTGTCAGATTTCCAGTTGTGCGCCCAGCATCCTGCACCGTACATGGCAGCCTGCAAAAAAAGAAATTCTTTCAGACATTTTTTCTTCAAAATATGCTAACCAGAATGATTTCACTCTGTACATTAAACATTTCTACATTACTTTACCTTGCAATTATCTATTTCATTTCATTGCTTTTCTCAACCTGTTATACATCTCTTGTGAAGCTAAATAGCTGACAACCACTGTAGTGCTTGTAGCCTACTCTTATTTGGACATTTTCTGAGGTTTCTTTTTTATTTGAATTGAATCGTGAGTCTTGAATGCCATCTGAGGGACTACAGGTAACAAGTGCTCTATGAATGGGCCGAAGTTTGTGTGAGTATTCCCATCAGATTCTGTGGACTAAGAGTACTTACAGGGCCAAGTCTACCGGAGTGTTTCAGCGAGATACCCCCACTAGACACAGCAGCAGACATGTTTCCTTCAGAATCCATGGCAACAGCTCCTACAGTATCCTGAACATCTTCACTGATGCAAGGAAGAGGTGTATCTTCCTCATTACAGGCCTGAAATATTTCCATTGTCAAGTTTTCATTTTATCTAATGCCATGTGTAATATATCATCAATTAAAATGTAATTAAGCACAGTAACAAGCTTCATAAATAAAGAAAATTGGATATTTGTATAAGGTATACTACATTATACAAGTATACTGTATTATAAAGGTATATCATATTACCTTATGCAGTTTTCCTATATTACCTTGATTTTACTGGGTTTATATTTTACTCTTTCCTGTTCAACTAAACATATAAATCCTATAACTAAACACTGACTAATGTTGGCAAATTTAGATAACATATATTACACAGACACAATCATGTCAGCTGCTCTGGACACTAACTGACCTTGGAAGAAGGTACAGTCAGCCATTTTGCTCTCTTCCTCCTCATTCTTTCCTCATGTTGCTCTAGTTTCCTTTTGTGGGAAGCATAAGTTTTCAATGAGGAATCTGTAAACAATTTTTAACATTATATATGACACTGTACAATACTGATATCATTCTATTGGGAACATTACATTTAGGTATATTTGAGACATTTATCTATGATTCGTCCTTCTTCTGATTAAGTAGGTAGAGCTGCACAATATGTATTATACAGTCATAAACTATTGGAAGTGTTAAATACTTCACAGTATATCTTACTTTTACAACATGATTGCAGAATACATATATCAGCAGAATTTCCTAAAGCGAAATAATTCTATAATCATCACTTAAATCTGCTTCCACAAGTTACAATATGAAATTTTAAGAGAGCTGACAATGTCTATGGGGAGACAACTTCCTGTAACCAAAACTAATTTTGTAAAATAAGTTTTAAGTTTATTCCTAAAATGTAATAAAAAATTCAGACAGAAACGTATATCTTTGTATAAACTATTGATGTTACTCTACCTGTTTTCAGTTGTTTGTTTTCGATCAGCTCGACTCCATTATCCTGTGCCCATTTGCGTGCTCCTTCACCAACTAACACACTGTCAAATAATATAACAAGGACAACAGAGATAAGTATAAAATGATGAACATGGGTTGCCTGTTTCAACTTTATATATAATTATTTAAAATAGGTTTTTGCTGATTTCCATGAATTGTTTTAACTACATTGGGTATCAAGTAACCCACCGGTAAATAATGTAGCAAGTATGACATGTACAATGAATAGGGGTTGATGGGTTCAGGTTGTTATACATATTTTTGTTTATTTAAATATTGGTTCCTGCTGATTTCTTTTCTGACTTTTTTGGGTATCAACTAACACTCTGTCAATTATTGTAACAACTGTAACTTGCAAAATATGAGTTGCATGTGTTTCAATATTTTACACATACATTTCATACATTGATAACTACATGGCATCAACTTACAATGACAGATACAATACAGAGTAGTACATATAGAGTAATTTTATTTCAATTTGATAATTTTCACAATTTCGTCTTGATACCGGTAGGTTGTAAGCTGTTCTAGGGACATGGAATTCTATGCGTAGAGACAGACTGAGGACAATTCTACTTCACAACATGCAGAATGAATTATGTCTGCATAAAAAGTAGGAAAGGTAAAATGTGTTTGACACATTTGTTAAACTCATTGCTACCTGCAGGTTGATCAGTCAATCACACTAGTAAAGTAACCTCAGACTTGAGAGGGGTGGTTAACAGTGATTAACAATTCTTTCCTGTGAAATGTTTGATTAAAAATAAACCTTATACATTTCACAACAATTATGAAATAAGTTTTTCAACTTATAATAATCACTCTTGTTGGTCCGGATGTTAGAGCACATTTGATTGATCAGAGTCACCATTAGATGCCCTGTTTGAGCTAAATTGATCAATTAAATCAGACAAAAATAAAAAGTCTATAATGGGGTCTTCCCCGAATACCAACTCTGCTTAAAATCACATGTTTACATAGGTGGTCAGTTGTAATGATAGTGAGTTAGAGTCTATTGCAGTAAAGTGTACAGGTAAATTGCACAGGTAAATCAACCTCTGATAACTAATCAGATAATCAATAGCTGCTAATAATTGCAAAATAATCATTAATATTTAGAGTTTCGATCCCAAGATGTTCTTCTGATAACTAATCAGATAATCACTAGCTGCTAATAATTGCAAAAGAATCAATAATATTTAGAGTTCCGATCCCAAGCTGTTAAATGGGTAATGTATAAAACAGCAGCACACTTTGGAGAATTATCATATTTCGCTCTGTACTTGGAAAAATCAACTTCTTTACTCAGTGAATGTGAATTATGTATTCAGAATACGTCATCGTTTTAGTTAAACTTGTACTTTCAGACTTGTGTGATTTCTCTTATAATCATTGTGATATAAAACTTATACTTATTTTCAGATTTGTGTGAACTTGTGTGACTTTGTCTGTTATTGTGTGCTTTGATACATCACACAGTACGAGAGTGTCTTATAATAAGAAATGCCTAACAATTTTTTTTCTGTATACTAATACTATCATTACATTTGACTTTACCTTGGAGGTAATCTTCCAAGAGACAGACATCCTTTCTTTTGTTCATCAAGTAAAGATCTGGCTACAAGAATAGGATTTTTCACACCTGAAAAATAGGTATATTTATATAACACAAGGATCTACCGGGTAATTGTCATTTATATGCAAAATATGCATTATTGATATGGGTCAATTATTACCTGTAACACAGCCAACCTCTCCATACAACAGTCACCTTCCCTCCACCATACTGGTGTCCCCTTCCCTGACCAATGTCAATTATTACTTGTAACACAGCCATCCCCTCCATACAACAGTGACCTTCCCTCCATCATACTGGTGTTATATTCCCTGTCTAATGTCAATTATTACCTGTAACACAGCCAACCCCTCAATACAACAGTCACCTTCCCTCCATCATACTGGTGTTACATTCCCTGTCTAATGTCAATTATTATCTGTAACACAGCCAACCTCTCGATACAACAGTCAACTTCCCTCCATCATACCGGTGTTATATTCCCTGTCTAACGTCAATTATTACCTGTAACACAGCCAACCCCTCGATACAACAGTCACCTTCCCTCCATCATACCGGTGTTATATTCCCTGTCTAATGTCAATTATTACCTGTAACACAGCCAGCCCCTCCATACAACAGTGACCTTCCCTCCATCATACTGGGGTTACATTCCCTGTCTAATGTCAATTATTACCCGTAACACAGCCAGCCTCTCCATACAACAGTCGCCTTCCCTCCGCCATACTGGTGTCCCCTTCCCTGACCAATGTCAATTATTACTTGTAACACAGCCATCCCCTCCATACAACAGTCACCTTCCCTCCATCATACCGGTGTTACATTCCCTGCCTAATGTCAATTATTACCTGTAACACAGCCAACCCCTCAATACAACAGTCACCTTCCCTCCATCATACCGGTGTTACATTCCCTGTCTAATGTTAATTTTTACCTGTAACACAGCCAACCTCTCCATACAACAATCATCTTCCCTCCATCATACTGGTGTTACATTCCCTGTCTAATGTCAATTATTACCTGTAACACAGCCAACCTCTCCGTACAACAGTCACCCTCCCTCCATCATACTGGTGTTACATTCCCTGTATAATGTCAATTATTACCTGTAACACAGCCAACCCCTCCATACAACAGCCACCTTCCCTCCATCATACTGGTGTTACATTCCCTGTCTAATGTCAATTATTACCTGTAACACAGCCAACCCCTCCATACAACAGCCACCTTCCCTCCATCATACTGGTGTTACATTCCCTGTATTATGTCAATTATTACCTGTAACACAGCCAACCCCTCCATACAACAGCCCCCTTCCCTCCATCATACTGGTGTTACATTCCCTGTATTATGTCAATTATTACCTGTAACACAGCCAACCCCTCCGTACAACAGTCACCCTCCCTCCATCATACTGGTGTTACATTCCCTGTCTAATGTCGATTATTACCTGTAACACAGCCAGCACCTCCATACAACAGTGACCTTCCCTCCATCATACTGGGGTTACATTCCCTGTCTAATGTCAATTATTACCTGTAACACAGCCAGCACCTCCATACAACAGTGACCTTCCATCCATAATACTGGCATCACATTCCACCTCTCCCTCTAATGTCAGGCTAGACCCAGTGCCTGCGTTAGTCAGAGGGCAGTTCTGAAAATAGCAGCCAATCTCATTTATTAGCTTTTATCTATCAATTCAACAACACTTTTTGGCAATTATTAATGACTGTGAGGGATCTTTATATTAGCATAGGGTTACATGCCATTTGAATCTGTTATACAGTTAAAATTTGATTTAGATTTGTGTGGAACCTATCAATTTAAAGAGCAAATACATTCATGATTTGGTATATCTATTAGTAGAAGTGATAGCTATCATTTGAAATATCAAATTAAACTTAAAGCCATTCACATAACATGTTGCTAATACACAGTACCTAAATTCATGAAATAATATGACTAACTAATGTAAAATAACAATTAAAAGATGGAATCATAATTTAAATGTACAAATATTAATTATCCTATTCTTCATTAGTTGCAATGTTTATTTATACAATTCACAACAATGCCAGACAGAGCTTATAAGTTGAAAGCAACTGACAGTTTTCTTCCTCTTACAATTTAATATTTTATTTGTTGCAATTTTGCATGATGTTCCATTTTGTATTTTTGAATTTTTACGATCAACTAGTGTCAGTTTCCAGGACTCATAATATTCACTGTACTTATTTTATACAGTATACCTTTATAATACAACTTTACTTTAGGCATGTTCATAACAATGAGAAAAAGTTAGAAAAATTAGGACCTTATATCAGCTTTAGTAACAAATATAATTAATAAGTTTTGACAAACCTCAAGGGAGATAACTGCAGCCATGACTGCTTCCAGAGATGAAGCTCCAGTTGTCAGTACTCCATGTGCCTTAATGTACAGATGAAATAAAAAGTATGGAAATGTTTTTGTATGTTTTTGTCGCAGATCTATACATGGTTTTAAACAAGAGGCCCAGGCGCTCACCTGTTTATTTAAGCAATCATGGCACAATCTTTACATTTGCTCTGTAATGCCAATTTGTAACCACTTCAGAAATGTAGGTTAAGAACTTGGAAGCGTTACTATGGAGACTTTATAATTCATAAAGAATTGAGGTTGTTACTTTTACTAGCACATTAGTTGAGTTGGAGATAAAAAGTATGTGATGGCTGTTCATTTGTCGAATTGTCTTTTAAATTTTGCTCCTCAATGCCCAATAACAAATGTTAAAGATATAAAGTGAAAGCTCAGTAACTGATGAAGATTTCAATATAAGCGTTAAAGTGACTGGGGAGGTAATGTGCATATTTTTGTTGTACTGTGTCGGTAAATTATTTTTGGATCATGTCTATTGATCATAAGACTACATGTAGATATGCGAAGTTGTGCAGTTTATACCAGTGTGAGAAATTGGACTTTATTCTATCATACCCTGCAAGTAGGGCGTAAGAATTGTACCTGCTGCCCCCATTGCATGATCGAAAGAGGCGACTAAATTTGGGACACAAATATACTGCAGCCCCCCAAAACACACACACACTCACTACATGCATGCATCTTGCACACAGGGGTGCAGGCCGTCCTTAACGGTCCACAGGCGCCTGAAGACCCTATTCCACGGGAAGATCGTTTCTTTTTTTTTTAATAACATCCTCATTAATTTACAATAGTTCTAAAACTTCCTGTGGTGTGCAATTATTGGATTTCTTTATTGAAATCAAATATGGAAGATCTTGCCTATTGTATTTATTTCCTATATAAACAATACCAAACTTTACCCCCTCCCCAAAGGCAAGCGAGGGACCTGGGGCACAGGAAAATTACAAAGTATATAAATCACTCGAAGGCCTTTACAACTATGAGTAGTATTTGATACTAGCATTTCTGTAACTGCAGAAGAAGATTTTTGAAATTTGCCTCCTTTTTCACCCCAAACCAAGCCCCCTAGGGGGTCAGGGTCACAAAAATTATACCAGCAGACCTTCCTCCTCTAACAAGTATTTCTGTCAAATATGAGCAAACTCCATTCAAAACATTGGAAGATATGGCCTATCATTTTTGTAACTAGAGAAGAAGATTTTTGAAATGTTCGCAAATTTCTCCCCTTTTTGGCCCCTAACTCAGCCCCCCTAGGGGGTCAGACTCATAAATATTATACCTGCAGACCCCCTCCCCCTAACAAGGCAAACGGGGGCCCTGAGAGACATGAAAATCACAAATTGTATAAACAACCCAAAGGCCTTTACAGCTATGAGTAGTATTTGATTCTAGCATTTCTACAACTCGAGAAGAAGATTTTTTAAATTTCCCTAAATTCCCCCCCCCCTTTTCGGCCCCTAACTCAGCCCCCTAGGGGGGCAGGCTCACATAATTTATACCAGCAGACCCTCCTCCCCTAATAAGTATTTCTCTCAGATATGAACAAATTATTTTCAAAACAATGGAAGATTTGGCCCGTCATGTCTATTTCCTATCAATCTGATTAAAATCATCTGTTACATGGCTTCGTTAACTTTGTACTTGTAACAGATGATTTTAATCAGATTGATTTCCTATATAAACTATACTAAATTTTACCCCCTCCTCAGGGGCAAACGGGGGCCCTGGGAGAAATGAAAATCACAAATTTTATAAACCATCCAAAGGCCTTTACAGCTATGGGTAGTATTTGATCCTAGCATTTTTATAACTAAAGAAGATTTTTAGAATTTCCCAAATCCCCCCCCCCTCCTTTTTAGCCCCTAACTCAGCCCCCTAGGGGAGGCAGGCTCACAAATTTTGTTGTTTGTATGGCCAAGTTCTCAATCAAGTCCCTGGGTTATAATTTGCATTTTGAACATTGTAACCCCCATGCATCAGCCCATTGTAACTGAATGACAATGTTAATGTCACAATTCAAATTTAGGTACAAATTATATAAATCACCTTAGAACATGCTTCAGCACAAGCTTTCTTGTACTCTGATTCCCGGTCCCTGGAGTGGTAGCCTGCACCTGAGGATGAAATAAGTGTATGCATATGGTTTCTAAAGTGTATAAATCTGTAAATGTCGTATGACTTTTCCCAACAAGCACTAAGCTGTTACAATTGTGTAATACAGAATATTATTTATTTAACCTCGTCACTTCTCTGTCAATATCTGGGATTATTTATAGTTTGTTAATAACAGTGATTACCATTACTATGCATACTCACCTGCATGAACAGCAATGAAGACTCCAGTCATCGTTTTAGCATAAACAAAACACACGTGTTGTGAAAGGTCGCGGATCGTCAATTTTTGAACCGGAAGGGAAATCCCAGGAACATAAATGACGTCAGTTATAGTGGATTGTGGGAAAGGTACGTGGCATTTATTTCGTTTGTCAAAACAGCACCGTCTACTTCCACGTCGAATAAACACCGTTGGAAGTAAGTATTTAAATATATATATACAGTTTTCAATACAAACGTATTGCCTTAATACATCAACGTCACTCAGAACTTCATATTGGCTACAGGTCGTCTGAACAGGCCGAGAATCCTTACCGGCTTTGGACATACGATCAGGTGTCAAACTGTGAAACTGTTAAAAATAAGAGACGAATTGAATATAACTGTAAATCTGATTGTTACACATCTGTATATAATACTACAATGAGGGAAGACTCTTATTTGAGGTAAGTACTAATATATATTAATATGACCATTATTACCAACACAAAGTAAACATTATGATCAGGGGGGGGGGGGGGGGAAAATCACAGATAAATCTTGTAGATCATAGAGATGAAAAACAGGATTTCAAAACGTATTTCATTCCCATCCTTAAAATAAGTATATTGTCTGAATGACACGGTTTACGCAGGGCATTCTAAGTGGGGTTCTTAATTGGGTCAAACGGGATTTAGGGCAAAACGACCTGACACTTCTTCTTCCAATAATCTGCATTTCACCTCTGGTGTATTGTCGCAGACACCCTTTATTATAGTCCATATATAAAGATTACTGAAAAACCGTAGAATCCTTTTCAGCTTTTCAGTTTCTTCTGGTAACCGTCCTATTCTCGCCATAACACATAAACACATTATAAAGTAACTGAAAATAGGAGTGGTGACTGGCTAAAAAATGCAGTGACAGAGTTAAACACAGCTTCTATATGAATTTTCCATTAAATAAGAAAAACAAATTGTGATTTGTGATCATGTGCTATACCTGCTGTGGTAAGATTAGTTTGTGACCAGTTTGGTTCAAAGGATTGAGGGATGGAATTACAATTTACATACGATCTGCTTATGATCTAAAATCTAAATTAATCCATGTATATCATAATATTAATATGTTTGTGTAGTAATGCTTCTTTAGTTTGTATATTAATACTTATTTTTTACTTTTAAAAATTCAGCGCCAAAATGGCGACATATCAAGAATTCATACAACAGAATGAAGACAGAGATGGAGTACGCTTTAGTTGGAATGTTTGGCCATCTAGCAGACTGGAGGCCACAAGAATGGTAGCTCCCCTGGGGTGTCTCTATACACCCATCAAGGAGCGAGCAGAGCTGCCCCCTGTTCTGTATGACCCAGTGCTCTGTACCAGACCCACATGTAGAGCAGTGCTTAATCCATTCTGGTGAGCAGATTGAAATATTGAGTACAATAACTACATATGTATACAATGTACGTACTGTTAATAGTTTTAAGAACCATAACAGTGGCATATTTCATTAACATTATATAATAATAATTCTTCATGATTTGATTGAAGCCCCATAATTTAATGACACACTTTTTAATGAAAAGTGTTAATTCATTTATTTGTCTTTTCAATGGAATATTATGTGTTTCTCGACGAATACCAAGTATATATCAACTTATAATACTTGATGAATAAATTTCTTATTTTTATCATGATAACATGATTTTAACATTTTGTTAGCGTAATTAATTACAAAAAGTTCAATAAAAGCTGCTATTGTCCTAGTACATGGTTTAAAGTAGGGTTACTACATACTGTAAAATCATAAATTTTCGTGGGACACTGAATTTCGTTTATTTTGTGGATAACAAAAATCCACGAAATGTAGTCCCCACGAAAAAAAAAATTGGTATGATAAAGATAGGGGAAATCGGAAATCATTGAAATATAGTGTCATTGAAACAGGCTAGTATATGAAAACCACGAAATTTAACCCCCACGGAAATTTATGATTTTACAGTATTTCAACTATTTGTGTTTTATTAGAATTTATAAATTTGTATATTTATGTTATCTTTCTTTCTTTTTAACAGTCAAGTGGACTACAGAGCAAAAATATGGGCTTGTAACTTTTGTTACCAAAGGAATCCTGTAAGTATTTAAACCAAGATTTTTAATATAAGGGTGAAACTCTTACCTATAGACTTTGCTTGTCATCAAGATTATCCTTTTGAAATTTTTCAATGAAATTTAATGAAATGAAAGTACTATGTAATTGCCAATAACACATAAAAAAAAATCAAGTATGTACTGTAATTATGTATACTAGCCTTCAATGAAATTACAATTTACCAGTATGTCATTATCCAGATTAAATATTCATATATTTTTGTAAACATACAGTTTAAGCACTGGCCTAGAATTCCATACCATTATTTCATAATATTTATATTTCATTTCCATTGTAAGTAATTACATGTATCTAACGTATTTCAGTCATTTCTGTTGATTGTTATGTATATATCACAATACTAAAGAATTTCCTTAATCTGTTTGTATAGTTTCCACCCCAGTATACTGCTATCTCAGAACAACATCAGCCAGCTGAGATTATACCTCAGTTTTCAACGATAGAATACACTATCACAGTAAGTAACAATAAGGATGTTTTCTATGATGAATTCAGAGTTACAACGGTATTCATACCACAAAATCTCAACACATGGAAATGTGCTTATCGGTCTGTTTGTATTCATTTTCTCCGTTTTATAGGTACATGTACATGTATATGCTAAAAATCTGTAGTCTGTATATGAATTGGCTTAAGAGAAGTAGAAGTGCCCCAGTTCAGAACTTTTTAAGAGGAGTATACACGCTAGTAATGTATATAATATACAATTGATGTTTTGTAGAGAGCAACATGCCATCCTCCTGTCTATCTGATTGTACTGGACACGTGCATGGACGAGGAAGATCTTCAGGCAGTCAAGGTATTGTGTGTTAACGAACATATCCTGTAGTATAATATTTTCTATATCAGTTTTATATCGTGTTTTGATTATCTTTTTTTTATGTTATGAGCGTGTGGATCATTCATGTGGGATCTAAGAAGGACAACATGGATTTAATTTGGGAACATAATTCCTATTTTTGTAAATTTTGGACATGTTTGGGACTTAACTTTTCTCGTGCAATTTCACAGTTTAATGTCTATTAATTTGTTAATATAGCAACAAAAATTATTACTTATTGAGAATCCTAGAAGCAATGTGCTGGTTGTAAGATTAGTGAAAATTTGGCAATTAAAAAAGTTATGGAGGGGCAAATAATTTTAAGAACTTTAACCGCAACATGCACTAGTCTACATTGTAATACCTATTGTTTTGATATGTAAACTATGTAACGAGTGATTAAAACGTCAACACTGGAGGTAATGATCACCAGCTAGTGGAATGATGTATTTATATAAGATGTTAAAACTAATGACAGTTGTTTCTTATTTTGCTAGGAATCCCTCCAAATGTCACTGAGTTTGCTCCCACCTAATGCTCTGATTGGTCTGATCACGTACGGAAAGATGGTCCAGGTTCATGAATTAGGCTGTGAGGGATGTTCTAAAAGTTATGTTTTCAGAGGGACAAAAGACCTTAGTGCAAAACAAATACAGGTAAGTTATATTTTGGTATGTGTTTGTCATCTGATATCTAAATGGTGTTTATCTCCACTTTATATGGTCAGTGATGTAATGATGCATTTCGTAGGTTATCGCACGTTATTATACAATATTTCATTTTCATAAACACATCAAAGAATTTGAGTTAAGATGGGATTAATTTTGTATGCAATCACCATAACCTTGGTTGTTTAATTCCTTTAGCCCAATGCCAGGTGATAGATGATATTATGTTGATGCTGGTGAAAATGATCGATTATTTTCAATAAAAATATAGGTCAGGCTAGTGGTTTTAATATCTTCCTGTGGAGTGGTACTCCAAACAATGCTTTAACATATAAAGCAGCTCTCTGATTTAATGGATTTTTGTTTTGATGGCTTAAGCTTGAATGTTGTTTATCCACAGGACATGTTGGGTATAGGTAAAGGACATGCTCCACAGCAGCCTAAGGGGCCACACAATCCTCAGCAGCAGCAACAACTGCCTTCAAACAGGTAATGGCACAGAAATTCATCACACAACTGTCATGGGTATGCTAAATTAGGTGAACATTTTGAATTTGTTGATAAACCTTTATCTGTATCTACCACCTGTCAGATTTGCCTGTGTATTGAAGGTTTACCATCGAGGTCATTGTTTCATTATTCACACGTATACATAGTTCACACCCCCACAGGTAAATCTACCTGTACAGAGTTTGTTGATTAGGGTGTCAATCGTAGAGAACAATAAAAGGCTAGTCTAATAAGGGTGAGTCTAATTGGAAAGGGGAGAAGAGGTTAGGCCTATCAGGATTTGTGAGAACTTGTCAGTTGATGTGTAACGGTCAAATGCATGCGTAACGGTAAAATGGTGATGCATAGCAGCTCAAAATTCATGTGTAACGGTACCGTTACGCTAAAACAGCCTGGGGAGAACAATGTAACTAATTTAATATTTATAGAGAGTTATGTTAACTTACCAGTTATTTGTTCTGTTTCCTTCAGATTTCTACAACCTGTCCACAAATGTGACATGAGTTTGACAGACCTTCTGGGAGAATTACAGCGAGACCCCTGGCCAGTAGCTCAAGGGAAACGCCCCCTCCGAGCAACTGGAGTAGCCCTCTCCATAGCTGTTGGCTTACTAGAGGTTAATAGACAAGGTTTTGGTTGTGTCATATTCATTTTCAAAATCTTAACATAAGTATTATAGTTATTATTTGAATACTTCTTCAATTTGTAACTGAAAATTCAATTCCAGCACAGCATTACTTTCATTTTGTAAGGATAACATTTGATAGTGACCTGTCTAATTACTGATTTAAAGGTAGGTAGTTTCACAAATATATTTTGATATTACATGCTTTATATGTGTTTCAGTGCACTTTCCCGAACACAGGAGCTAGGATCATGCTGTTTATGGGGGGACCCTGTACCCAGGGGCCAGGAATGGTGGTGGGAGATGAGCTCAAGTTCCCCATCAGGTCCCACCATGTCATTGAGAAGGACAACTGCAAGTACATGAAGAAGGCCATGAAGGTAGGAATTACTGCATACAGACAGTGATCTGTTTTAGATGGAGTTTACCAAAGATTGTGTTTAAACCCGATCTGCCTCCCGTTCTTGATGTTAAATTACTTTTAAGATTTTATGGGTGTTGAGGTCCCTGAAAAAGTGCCTCCGACCCTCAGCTACTGTTAATTCTAGAACTGTCTTAAACATAATGTATTTCAAAATTGTTTTGGCTAGCAACCATCAATAAAAATGTTTACAAGAACAAATGGTTTTATAAAAGACCGTTTTGCACTTTTGAATATAAGTAGAAATCTGACCATTTGGTATCTGTCTTGTTTTGTAGCATTATGAGGCTCTGGCCAACAGGACAGCTAACAACGGACATGTAATAGATGTGTTCTCCTGTGCCCTGGACCAGACCGGGCTGTACGAGATCAAGTTCTGTTCACGATACACATGGTAAGAGACATTTATCTGTAAGAACAGCACTTTATGAAACTATTAGTGAGATGTTAAGTTGGGGATGATGCTGTGTGAAATATTAAAAAAAAAAAATGTTTAGACAATCTGCAAGACCAGTTGACTAATCCCATGCCTCCTGTGACAGCAAATTGACTAAATAAATGCCTCCTACTACCACAGTAGAAAAAGAATTTTATTTTGTACCTAGATCTTTATAGAAATGGAATGCAAAGTTTGATTTAAAGTCACAGAAAAGTTGATCATCATCCATCCTCGATATCCAGTGGTTACACTCACTTTCGAGTCTCTACCCCCCTGGAATATGTCATAGCAAAACTGAAGACACACAGCTAGCTATTTGATGGGTGTCAGGTAAATACACCTGACCATTCACTAGGCTGATACTTGTCCTTTGAAGATTACAAAGGAGCGACGCCCGACTTCAAAGCCTGTGATTTGTTACCATTACACGATCGCGAGATTCTTTTGATGTACATCAAAGTACCAAACTAGTCTTCTCGTCTCATCGTCTCATCGACAAGGTGCTTCACATTGAGCCATCTATGACATATTCCAGGGGTGTAGAGAATGAAAGTGAGTGTAACCCCTGGATATTGAGGATGGTCATCATCCTAAATGTTAGATTATGTACACTTCATGATTGACACTTTAAAATATATGCTTTTTGCTTTTTAAATCCTCTAAAAGTGTATTGAAATGATTGAGAATCTCTGATCCATTCTAGTGGACACATGGTGATGGGAGACTCTTTCAACACCTCCCTGTTCAAACAAACCTTTCAACGAGTGTTTTCTAAAGATGGTCAAGGCGAGTTCAAAATGGCGTTTGGTGCAACAGTAGAAGTCAAGGTAAGATAAAGAAATATTTGTATTACCATGCTATCGTTCGCAGAGATAGTTGTAACTTTTTACAGTTTTCTGTGTTAGGATATATGGCTGTGAACATTTTATTGCAGTATCCTATGCTAAGACACCCACAAATCAACAATACCATAAAAAGTGTGAATGTTTCAGTTTCTTGTAAGTAGGGAAATAGAGATTTTTGCACTATTAGAATCTTTAATAAAGAGGCTTTCTTAGACTCGTTAATATCTGTTGGGTTAATTTTTAGTTGGTGTTTTAAAAATGTTCTTCATAACCTCCTTGCAGACTTCAAGGGAGCTGAAGGTGTCCGGTGCAATTGGTCCATGTGTGTCGCTGGGTGTGAAGGGGCCAGCAGTGTCGGATACTGAGTTAGGCCTGGGTGGCACCTGTCAGTGGAAGTTGTGTGGTCTCTACCCTAGTACCACGCTGGCCTTCTTCTTTGAGGTTGTTAACCAGGTAATATAACTGATGTATTCTTATAGATGGCAAACACGAGTTCATGGTCTTGACATTTGAGAGAGATAAAATCATAAGAATAAATCATAAATATTTCTGCTCTGTTTATTATAATAAGAGGAGTGTGTTGGCTGTTAGGGAGTTTTTACACTTACATATTCATCTTTTGTGTATTGTATTATTAAATGTGATGAATTGTAAAAAAGTAAAGATATGAGAATATTTCCCCTTGTATAAAATGTTTACTTGATGGCCTTTAAAATGTTTCTGTTTTGCAGCATAATGCCCCTATACCTCAGGGTGGACGAGGCTACATACAGTTTATCACACAGTACCAACACTCAAGTGGTCAGCGCAGGGTCAGAGTGACCACTCTGGCTAGGAAGTAAGTACAACAATTTTAATACCTTAATATAATTAAATAGGTCACTTTACCACATTTTCAATCTTGTATATAAAGTTTTACTCTTTGTGCTACAAGTATTTTTTCAAGTACAGGAACCATCATAGTGCTGGAATTAGTAGAATTAGAATAGACATAATGACAGAAATTACTACATTCTCCTGTGACACATTATCAGTAGTATTGTATACTACAGCTGGGATATGATGTTTGTATGTATGTTATTTAAGCTCTTCCTTATTCATACTGGCCTGAATTATTCACAGTTGGGCTGACGCCAGTACCAATATCCAGCACATATCTGCTGGTTTTGACCAGGAAGCTGCTGCTGTACTGATGGCAAGGATAGCTGTGTTCCGGGCCGAAACAGACGATGGGCCAGATGTTTTAAGATGGCTGGACAGAATGCTTATCAGACTGGTAAGGAATCAAAGTATTTCCCACATATAAGGGTATAGCAGAATGATTAAGTCAGATCTTAGAAGTATTGTCTGTGTAATGGTTAGATTCTTTTAGTCTGGAGTAAATCAGTTTGTAATGGCAGGCTCAGCTATTGGGCAGTAGAGGAATTCTGTCTCACTGCTGACTTAACATTATCATTTTACTCAATTATGTATGTGTATCACTTACTGGGCATGGCACAGCAGGCTTTTGCTTAGATGCAGATTTGCCTGTCATTTTGTTGTAAACAGGGTAACTGAGATGGTGTTTTATATACTTTGATACGTGACCAGATTTACCTGTTTTAAGTCTTTTGTGCTGGCTGTATATACAACAGATAAATAGCACCTGGGAGAAACATTAGTAGCTTTGTTAGACATACAGACCTACTGAAGTCCCCTTAACAAATTTAGACAAGAACATTTTAACACAATCACATATCCAGCACGCTATATGTCAATTGAACTTATGTTGTCACTTTCACTGCCTTAAACATGTTTCTACTTTTTCCTTACAGTGTCAAAAGTTTGGTGATTACCACAAAGACGACCCCAACTCCTTCCGGTTTTCGGACAACTTTTCCCTGTACCCGCAATTTATGTTCCATTTACGAAGATCACAGTTTTTACAAGTATTCAACAACAGTCCAGACGAAACATCCTATTATAGGTACGTTGTAGTAGTTGATAATTCATTATAAAACACCAGTTACTTCTCTTATAATTTTAGTAAGTAACACTATTATTTTCTGAATGATTGGAGACTGACAGTAATACACTGACGCCTAAAAGTTCTGAGACATTTCAAATTTGATTTTCAGGCACATGTTGAATACAGAAGATCTGACACAATCTTTGATCATGATACAGCCTATCCTGTATGCTTACTCCTTCAATGGAACACCTGAGGTTTGTACTTTTCTTCAATACTATTCATTTATACAGTTGTACCTTACAATAGCTATATTTTAAGATTAAGTATAAAGTATTCTGGAAAATTCCTTATTTCACAGTTCTTTTTTCCGGAATTTTGATATATTCATGAAACACATTTTTTTTAATATCCCTATTTCCGCTACTGCTTTTAAACTGTATTCAGAACAGAATTTTCAATTGATCATTACTCAAATTATCTTAGTCTTAATTTCAGACTGTTTACCTTTATATAAATCTGTAAATAAAATTACTGTAAAGCATTTTTTGTTGCTCGCATGTTTTTTTATCCAGTATTTAGATCATAGTATAACAGAAGAATTTTATGATTTAAACTTGACGAATGTACCATTTTTGTGGTAGCAGTATTATACATATAAAATGTTAACTTTGTACACTTCCAGCCAGTACTACTGGACACCAGCAGTATACAGGTAGATAGGATACTTCTGATGGACACATTCTTCCACATCGTTATATACCACGGAGAGGTAAGAACAACAATTACATATAGATTTTCCATAGGAACAAAATTTGCTTAAACACAAAAAAACATTTCTAAGTTTCTTAGCTCGTTCACTTGGGTAGGGTTTGTAGATTTGTAAAACTTAACATGATGTAGACAAGGGATGGTTGGTGGAAAGGATACAGCAGACCCAATCACCAAGAAAGGGGGAAAGAATGGCTAAATTTGGGCTAATTAATCATTGGATATGAAAATGAGAGTGAAGAAATGAGTCCAAGGGGATTGAAGAAATTGATTCTTAATCGGCATATTTATTTGCTGTTAAGGTTTGATGTTTTTGAGACAATTTCTTTCCACTAATGAGTTCCAAGAACATTTCATATAAAAGTGATGTGTCCTAAGTAATATTTCATATAAAAGTGATGTGTCCTAAGTAATATTTCATATGGAAGTGATGTGTTCTTATAAATATTTCAAATGGAAGTGATGTGTTCTTATAAATATTTCAAATGGAAGTGATGTGTTCTTATAAATATTTCAAATGGAAGTGATGTGTTCTAATAAATATTTCATATGAAAATGATGTGTCCTGTTTTTAAAGTAATATTTCGTTAACATGTGTGACTAACTTGTGCGACATCTCTGTTAGACAATAGCGCTATGGAGAGAACAGAAGTACCAGGATCAACCAGAATATGAAAATTTCAAGCAACTACTGCAAGCTCCAGTAGATGATGCCCAGGAAATTCTGCAGACACGATTCCCAATGCCTCGATATATCGACACTAAACATGAGGGCTCTCAGGTAACACCAGAAACAGTTATAGTGAGATAATTTGCCAAAAAAATATTTTGAATATCTTTTTCTCAGATTCCTTGGTAATTCACCTGTAAATATAAGTGTTCCTTTATATTCAGATTATTTGACAATATCGACCAAGAATTCACAAAATAAAACATTTAACTAATGAGAATTAAAGCTTTTGCTTTTCAGATTTATTGATCTTTTTTGGAAAATAGTATGTGCCTTTAGGCGTGCAAATTTCGTAATGTTCTTCCCTTTTCATTTTAATAAAATCTTGGACTTCTTTGACGTTCATTTAAAAATAAAATATTGTCTTCCATTTAAAAGGGGGAAAATTTCAAATTGGTACATATTTTCTATTAATGTTGAAATGACATTATCAATTTACTGACTTGTTAGATTTCAAGCTTTTCACATTGAAAATAACAGCCACATGGCTGAGTGTTGAGACGTATTCATTTAAACCTGTGGAAATGCAGAAAGAAATAAACTTGTCATTTTATAAGATACAAATTCTTTTATAATTATAACATTTAATGATATGCAATGTACAGTAATTAGTTCTCACAAATCTCATATACATATCAGGTTTCCAAATATTGGGTCTGTATGAAATTAGGGGCTTCTCTCCTAGTTTGCATAGTTTTGGTGTAGACTGATGTAGGTAGTTGATGTTGTTGAATTATCTGTAAAGTAAGGTAATTGTATTAAACCATGCTGATTTCTACTTTTCAGTCTCGTTTCCTGCTGTCTCGAGTGAATCCATCTCAAACACACAACAATGCTTTTGGATGGGGACAGGTAAGATCAGACTTATTTCATGTTGTTGGAAATGTATCTTATAATGATAATAATGCACTTTTACACAAGTCAGTCCTACCTATAGGACAGTAGCTTTTGGCATATTTTGCAGTGATTTTGATTTGTGTTTTGTTTATCTCGCAAGTTGCCTGTGCTTTATTCAGTTAACACATTCGTTAATACATATGACTCACAAATTCATTTCTGGCACAGTCGTTAATTATATCTAGAGCATGTTTGGTTTCTAAACATTTAATTTTGAAATATTTAAATTTTTAAGTGTTCTAACATGCCTATACACTGTTTTCAGAATAATACGTTTTGTCCTGGCATGATATAAGCATTTGTTATAGCACAGGAGTGGTAAAAACTTAATGTCATAGAACATCGTAATGAAACTATCACGTATATTGACCACAACAGACTTGAGAAACTCTTGTCTAAGAAGCCATCGACACTGTAGATAATTTATAATTGATCATTTTAAAGGCGACTTCATCGGTTTGTATTCTCTTCTTATCTGTAGCCTCCAATTTTTCTATTGTGAAAGGGTGATGGTGCATGATTATAATGTAGTACCAAACTAGATGTTATATGAACCCATATTATTGTAACGATAATGTAAGTTCTCGGTGAGAGTTCCTATAGTATGTTGAAGTCAGAGTCCCTGTATAGGGATCAGTATAGGGATCAGAATTAGGGATTAGAGTTCTTGTGTAGGGTCAGAATTTAGGATCAGAGTTCCTGTGTAAGGGTCAGTATTAAGGGTAAGATTTCCTGTGTTGGGGTCAAAATAAGGGGTCTAAGCTCCTGTGCAGGGGTCAGAATAATAGATCAGAGTTCCTTTGTAGTGGTCAAATTAAGGGATAAGATTTTCTGTGTAGCAGTCAAAATAAGGATCCTATTTCCTGTGTTTGGATCAGAGTTTCGGTATAGGTGTCAAAATTAGGGGCTAGAATTCCTGTGTAGGGGTCAAATTTGATGTCAGAGTTCTTGTCATACATGTGTGGACTTAAAAACACATGGTAGTGAGATTTTTTACCAATTGGTAGGAAAATTTGAGTTTTTTGTGGAGAAGATCTCATCGCAAGCATTCTTGTGCCAGAATTAAAATTATACTGAATTGTCTTTCATATTGAACAATTTCCATTAATTCATTTGTTTACCGGGTGTAGACCTATTTTTAAAAAGTTAAGCATTTCTAATATTACAGCCAATGGTAGAGGGAGTTTTAGTGTTCAAGATAAAATGTAGGGAGACCCTTCAACATAAGGAAACACCACATGTGTCCCGTGTAGGGTTTAGATTAGGGGGTTAGAGTTCCTATGAAAGGGTTAGAGGTCTTGTGTAGAATCAACAGTCATAGGAAAGGTTGGTACTCAATGTTTACTCAAGACTGTCTTTTATGGAATGTCGATCATTTTATCAATAAATTGTACATGTACTACCTTATATGTATACGTATTTATCTCTAATACTGTGGAAGGAGTTTTGTTTATTTTCAGCATGTATTCATTTATGCATTGACTATATTGTATTAACATAATCATCATTTACATTTTACAAGGATATTCTGTATTAATTGAACCATATAAAAAAAAAACCACATAAACTTCAGTTTTAATCAATATTTCCCACCAAGTAATATGTAAAATGTAATTGATGTGTAGATAGAGTGGTACTAATTTTGGTTATGTATTATAACACTACTAACCAGCCTATCTTGTCACACAGATCATTAGCACTGGTGGGCCCACCTCTGAGGTTTGTCTTAGGGTTATCTTTGGTGGCTGGGGTGGGGCGGTGTAGTTTATGCATGTTGGTCTTCCTGTAGAAATTAATCTTGCATATTTGTTTTTCAAACAGAATTGAAATATTGTCAAAGTTATGTCACAAGTGAAAAACTTGAAATTATTAATTTCTTGTGAAATTCATTCTCAATAATTATATATACCCGGTATGTAAAGATGATAAATATTTTTATCAATCCTGAACTAGACTGTGGTCTTGACTTGAGTGGTTGGTAGCTTGGTATGGCATCCTGAGTGTCGAGACAATACACTAGTGCTCAGAATCAGGGACAAAGAAACACAGAATGATAAGAGCTGGCATGTGTTGCAGCTCAAATGCATATCTACTAGTGGAACATGGAATATTTGGAAATGGTTATTGCATGCTTGTTCGTATGAATGTCAACATTTACTGTGACTTTATTTGGTTACCAACGAACTGGAAACAAAAAATTCAAAAACACGTTATATACATGTATAATGAATTTTAAGATCCTCTGGCCTGAACATACAGGTGACCTTTTCTCTGTGTTGTCAATTATGTCCATAAAGAATTGTTAAAAAGTTTCTCAAAATTAGCCTGAAATGTTTCCATTGCATCCACTGAATAACGTTTAAGCCATTATGGCAGTCATGGCTACAATTGTGAAGGCTTTTAAGTGTGATAAATGAATGAACTCAGTGAGCAGTAAAGAATCCATAAGGAACATGTCAGGTAGGGATCCTCTCTCTATGTAATGTGTGTCGTTATGTATAACTATTAATGAAATATAAAACTTGAACATAATCTTTATACACTATCTAAATATAGTACATTCCAACTAAAACATTGATTATATCCTATAATCTATTAACAGTATCTTTCCTTGATTTCCCTTTTATCACTATTCATGGCATTTATTTATTTACATGTCACATTATGATATGTTTTAGTTAAATCCTTTAAGGTAAAGAGTCCCAGCACTCAGTATTGTAACTCCAACAAAAAAGAGTTCCAATTTTATTTTGCATTTTTCTGATTTGGTGTTAGAAATGAAAGATATCTGTATTAGGTCTCGGCTCTGGCACCAGGATTTTATTTTCCCATGGCACTTTTTGATAATTTAACATGGAGCTTATCCTCTGAGTTATGGGTCATGATGTTTTTATGTTAGTACTTTTCTGCAACTTTACTGGGAACAATTTGAAAATGTTGTTACTTCTGAAAAGGTCTGCAATGTAAAATTGTCATTGTATTTACCATAAATTTAAACTGAAAAAGCCAGTATGCAGTATAAAAGTGATGGGACCCTCAACCATAAGCAGTGATGGTACTTACTAGTGACTGAGTAGTTATGTAATTTATCACCCCTTGTTCTACAGGATGGAGGTGGAGCAGCCGTGCTGACAGACGATGTGAGCTTACAAGTATTCATGGAACATTTAAAGAAACTCGCAGTATCCAGCTCCTCCTGAGCTGTAGTGACAAACTAGGACACAAGACTTTGTTTTGAATTAACCGATGTGTGAAGAACTCCGAGACACAATTGAATTAACCGATGTGTGAAGAACTCCGGGAATTTATGTCCACAAGAGCATATTCCTTAAACAGTAAACAAACTCATGGGGTCATACAGGAAACAATGAAGTATAAGTATTGGTACAAGTTGGTGACGTACTGCTACTTATGACATTATGTTGATATCACATTGACAATATCAATATCACATTGTGTTGATATCACATTGACAATATCATTATCACATTGTGCTGATATCACATTGACAATATCATTTTTACATTGTGCTGATATCACACTGACAATATCATTTTACCCTTTCTTGCAATCACCCAAGTTTACCTGTAATTGTCATGCATGTGATTTATGGTAAGCCTATATACCCTGTATAAGTGATAGTGTCAGAACCTGTATTCCATACCTGCATGCTCGTGATGGTGGCATCAATGTCGCCAGAAAGTGTCCGAGTAGACCTGGTGCAGTCACGTATGTATCTATCCGTGATTGATCCATCGTGGTATATATCTGTGTGTGATTGGTCCACTGGGACATAACAGTATGTGATTGGACAAATTAGGCTCTAAAAATGCATTTTAATCAATGTTGTAAACTCAAAATGAAATGGTTAAATACAATAAACTTCATAAGAAATACAATTAAAGTATAATATGTTCATGGGGAAGCCCTTGGAATGTGAGAAATTCAGCGGCTATAGGCAATGTTTACTGTATACGTAGATGTTTATGTTCATGACAATTCCTTACCAGGGGACGCTAATATAGCTTGGTTGTATTCAAGAACTCACAATAAGTATGTAATATGTTCCTAGTGTGTTTTGATCTTCTCTGAAACCTGTGAATACTGTGTATTCATGGCCTAAATCTCCTGTGTTTGATATACTTTATTCAATATGACAACCATGTTATGTGTGGTTTTCATTTATACATCTTTCCAGAATTCACTAGTCCCTGACAGAGATATTAATCAGTTATGGTTCCAATAGACCTTGGTATGTGATAAATGTGATGTTAGTTCTGGCTATGTGAATATATATATGGACAGGGATATTTCAAACATTTTAAAAGCAATATTGAGAATGAGTTACCTGGAACTGTAGATCACATAATTATGCTATATATACACATTTACAAAGATAATGGTCAAATTCTGGGTAATTAGGGCTACCTCAGCATAGGAAAACTGGGATTGAATAGAGGCAGGGAGACACTTTCATAGACAGGGTACATCTCCATATTGAAATGTGATCGCCTTATGAATTAAAGTGAAAAATGCCTCTTGTATGATGTAAGTGATTTATAGTGTTTAAGATTATCAGTGGTTGTAAATGTGTACGGTATGTTATATAGACGGAGAATGACTTGTATAAAAGCTGGTTTGTCAGTGTTTGTGTGTATGTTATTAGGAGCATAATGACTTATATAAAAGGTGAGAAATACAGGTGAGGTTGAGAGGCCGAGTTCAGGTAATTACTAAGCATTAGTATTATACAGTATGTTGAAAGTTGGTAATAAATATGTAAAACATTAGATACGAGATGATCAAGTTGTAAAAGGGCTATATCCTAAAGTGGTAACTGGTTCATCCTAGGAGATAAAGTTAGCATCTCTTCAGTAACTTAAAATCATCAAGTACTAGTACCGGTAGTTAAATCAATATGAAGGTCTCTGGTGAGTTAAGTTTAAAATTTGGTGCAAATTGTCATACTTTGGTGCAAATTTTGAACATACTGTGTATTCTACTCAATGAAGTCCTTCAAAGGTAGATGTTGAAACATTTACTGCATAGTGATCTATGATTATTGATGTAATATAGTTTTTACAGATAGTTCTGAGGAAATAACACACCCAGTACAAAAATTTACCAAGAATTGATGCATATTGTGCTTGTTTTATATTTTGTTCAATGATTTTAAAATTTGTTTTCATGTTTTGTTGGCAAATAATCATTATAAATGTCTAGTATTTTTTACTATAAAATATGACTACTGTCAATTGTGGATGTACATGTATTTATTACTTGAAAGAAAAGAATGAATGCAATTTTCAAACTAAAATCTGTTTATCTTTTCTTTTGATGTAATTTGGTTGAAAAAATATCCTATACATCTTGCGGGAATTAGTTAATAATATATTGGTATAAGCATTCACATCAGCTAAGTAACAGGCACTTAGGATTCAAATTTAGGGTCAGAAAAATGTAAGCTAAGCCCCCCTGGGCGGATTAAACCCCACTGTTTTATAATGTTTTTCGACTGAAGAACACCACTTTTAGCCGACCATCATCAGATAGTGGGCTATTCAAATCACCTATCATCTGTGGTGTTGCCCTCCGCACTTATTCTCAGAAAGTACTAGAGGGATCATTCTTAAATTTCACAATGTTTTCAATGGTGTCTAGTTACCAATATCAAATTTTGAGACTGATCAAAAAACCAAGGTGGTCATCTTGAACTTTGAGAGTTAAGGATTGTTAGCACTATTCCTCAGAAATCACTTGAGGGTTTCCCATGGTCCCTAATTATTCATATTTAATTTTTAAACTGATAGTAAAACTAAGATAGCACCAAGACAGCTGTCTTGAATTTGACTGTTCAATTTTGTTACCACTATTTTAAACGCATGCTCCCCTTGGTCCCCTAGATATACCAGCATACCAACTTCTGTGAAATAACGTGGGAGGGGAGATGCACCTGCTTACACCTCTCGATGCGGGTTATGATCATAACTTCCTGCATGCATCTGTGAATTGAGTCCATAGTTAAGCAGTTGAGGATATTGGCAACATGTTGCAAACTTTATACAATTTTAAATCCCCAGCACCTTAAGAAGGTTCCAGTCAAATGTTAAGATTCCATTCAGGTGGTTCAGAAATAATCATTTGAAGAATTGTTTACAGACCAAGGTCAGTCACCATGATAAGGCAAAAACTTACCTTAGTCCAAAGGAACAAGCAAGCTATAAATTTCATGGTGTGTCATTAAGTTAAACTGGAGAACCCTATACACCTATATGTACAGTTCAGTGAAAATTGCTTGCACCATCAAACGAGATCCCAGAGGATTCTTGGCGCCCACCCTCGTACCATCTTTATTAGTTTTATGTCAGTTTGATCTTTTCTCTTACCTGTTGGATCAGCTAGCCTGAAAGCCAACTTGTTTTTCTGATCAGTCTCAAAAGTAAATATGCACAATTAAGGACCAACGGTAACCTACATATAAAATTTGAGAAGAAAAAAAATCCAGTACTTTCTGTGAAAAGCAATAACAAACTTAAACTGTAACAAGACAGCTGCTTGATATTTGCATAACTTAGAACCAAGAGAAACCTTCATGTGAAATTTAAGAAAAATCCCCCAAATCCTTTTTCATAATACTTGAATCGTGCTAACAATCTTCAACTCCCAAATTCAATATGGCCACCTGCCTGTCAACCATCTTGGTTTTGTAAACAGTCCAAAAATTCGAAAAGATCCATCCAGTACTTTCTGAGAAATAGAGCTAAGAAAAATAAATTAAGCATGGATGTATGAAGGGCGCTTTGAATAGCCCACCATCTGTTGATCTGGCTATTTAAAGAGGTTAAAAGTTTTCCTTTTGATATTGGGAACTGGTGCAAGTCTAGGGGTTATTTTTTAAAAGTGCTTAGTATATCGGGTAGCGTAATCAACTGCCTGGTAGACGGAAATACACCAGTCATATGACCAGGTGATATTTTTCATTCAACATTTGCCTCGAGTAGCCATCTTTAGATCCACATAAGCCAATAGCCTGCCAGTGTAATATTTACTTCAATCGAGTAAACACCCGCTTAGCTAGCCAGCAGTTGCTTAAAGATTGCAAATTCGGCAAGCCCTAGATACAATCCCAAGACTTGCACAAGCTTCAAACATCGGATGTGTCTGGCCCCATGCTCAAAATCACTTGACTACCCAGCTTCCATTAAACAGCAACGACAACAGAATGCAATAGAATGTGTTTATTGTCTATAATTGCAAATACAATGTTTCACAATTACATAAATATGAAGAATATGGTAATTGTATTACTCTATAAATATTGAAATTTTCATGTTTGGATTTCTCAATGAAGGTAATAGAAACAAGAAACATTACCAGTAATTATATTGTCAATTACAGCTTGTACCGATTCAAAACTTGACAAAATTTTCACCACCAATATGTCTTAAATTTCATTGTAAACTTAGCACCTTTAAAATATACAACATGTCAATATCCTTGAGATATGCCTCTACATGATCACACACTACACTCTTGTTTTATACAACCAATGAAAGTCCCCTTCTGTTCAGCCGTGCTTGATTCAAATTTAAGCCAGAATCTATCAAAAGTATTTGGACAGGTGTTTGACAGTCAATCAGTTGCCCTGAGAGGTAGCGCTACCTTAGGCTTGCTTGGTAAACCTCCGCTGTTACAATATTTGTACCTCATTACAGCAGAGCTAGGTTTGGTAGAATAATAAAACAATATATTGAAACACTCTATATAGAGACTTTCTCATATTCAAACCTTCTACCGTCTAAGTATTAGGCATAAATATAAGAATTATACTGATTTACAGTATTTTCAATTTAGGTGGTATAATTATTTGTGCTGCATTTCCAAACTGTTCCGGCAAAATATGTCGGTCATCGGGAACAGAGAGCAAGAACCAAGATTGGAAACCATACTAGAAATAAAGAAAGATGCAGTGGAATGGGTTGGATCATACAGATAAAATTGAGGCACAGAGGCATCCAAACCAGGTCCTGCAGTGGACACAAATTGGGCAAAGAAAGATAAAAAGGAAATGAAAGGAGAAGGAGCAAAGGAAACTAGAAGGGACAGGGAAGGTTATATCAAAACAGAAGGAATGGTTCATCCATTGATGTTAAAATGCTGACAACATATGAGCTGTAAGCAATGCAAAAGGAAATCAGTACCGATTCCTAAATGAAGATTCTACTACAGAAATATCTGTATCAGAAATAAAATATAAAATATATTGATAGACATATAGTGTTAGTAACAAAAGTATATACATGGGTAGATATCTGAAATCTAAAAATTCTATTTCTTAAAATGGATGCCAGTACCAGGTAATTTTAATTCACGATATGTAAAGGCAAGAACATCACTGTCAGACTCCAAAGTGAGTTACATAGCCATGCAATGTGAGTGTTTGCCCTTTAGTATACTGTAAATTACTTATATATTTATAAATCATGTCGTCATGTGACTTTTTGTACTTATTGATAGAATGTTAATTAACATTGGTTTACCCTGCATGTCTTGCATTATATATGTTCAATGTTTAATGCCAACCTACACACAAGAAGTATCACATGAAGTCATCTACAGTATACATCTATTCCCAAATTCATATGAAGTTTAAGTCATCTACAGTCTATTTGTATCCCTAAATCCTTCTATAACAAAAGCAGTATTGCTCTAACATTAAATAAAACTCTCCTCATAAATAAATTAACTCAATAATTATTTTTGCTTATTTTTCTAAGTTGCATTAGCATCTTTTAAACACTGCTAAATATATTAAAAAGGCTTCCACGTAGTGGCAGTAGAACTATTCTTTGTCCTAATCAAGCACCTGTGAATTAATATGGTTTGGAACTCCTACTATGTAATAAAACATGGATATACAAAATAAAGGTAGAACAAATTTATACAGAGTAAAATGTAACATAAAGCACAGTGTCGGATTTCCTTGGCAACACATTGTAAATTTCAGTACATGATTTTGTACTGAAGTCCCTGGCCACCTGTAAATGTAGGGCTAAATGCAAGACTGAATACACTGTATTACATTGAATTAAAATCACTCAAATAGTTGTTTTATGGATAATACCACATTCCGATATCTTCACATAAATATTAAGAAATTCAAGATAACCCGGTAAATAAGAAAATGTGACACAATACAGGAATTAGTTCCAAAAAATAGTGACAACAACTGCTTCTTTGAAATATTATAAATGAATTTTTCGGAACCAAAATGGTATGTTTATTTTCTCATAACAGAAATAAAAACTATCAACCTAATCAGTTTATACCAGCAGACACCATCATACATAAACAATAATAAAAACCATATGATAAAGAGTCCAAGTAAATAGGGTATACCGAGAAATTTTCACCTGATCAAACTTTGCTTAGTGATGATTTCACCCTTCACTTGTAATGACTATATGTTGTGTATTGATATTCACTGTCAGGATCAATTGACCCTCATTATGGAGGGGGTAGAAATAAGGTGAAAGTTAAACTCTGGTGAAAATTTCCGGTATAGAATATAATGTATGCAATATAAAATCTAAGAAGTCAAATACTTTTCTGTCACACGACTCCACTAAAACAATACCCAGCAGAGTTAAATCTTACCCTTTTATTTCGACAAAATCAATTTTTTGATCACAGCATATTTAAAGTGTCAATCAAAATATTGAGTAAGATGGCACATTAACAAACTATAACAATAACGGGACTTGTACAAGTCTAACAGAGGTTCTGCTGAAGCTTACACTGGCAAGAAGTCCGGTAATGACTGCACACATTTGACGATTGTTTTACAGTTCCAAGCTTTTTCGCTGATTGTAATTCTTTCCCTGCCTCTACTCTAGCATTGCATCCAGATCAGTGTAAAAAGCGTATACTCATCTTCTGTTCTACATCCATTCGTTCCATTGCCTGTGTGTTAGAGCATTACAGATTTTATTATATTATGTACATTGGTTACAGCAATACACTAAGTTCCAATAATTGCATATAAAATAAAGGATCCCGATCACCACCCTTGAAATTCCAGAGCTAATGCTCACTTACATTCTCTGCACCCCTGGAATAGGTCATGACAAAAACAAAGGCATAAGGTAATAGCCATTTGATTAGTCTCAGGTAACAAAAACAGACAAATAGCTTGGCTGATACCTGTCACTTAAAGATTACAAGCAAAACATGACTTCAAAGGTAGTTAATTTTACTGTTATGCCGCTGCAAGATTATTTTGATGTACATCAAAGGATCTAACCAGTCTACTTGTATCATTCACCAGATGGTGCATATAGAACCTGTGATTTTACCACGACATATTCCAGGGGTGTAGAGAACGTAAGTGAGTGTAACCCCGGAACTTTCTGGAAGGAGCAGAAAAAAGTACAGTATGACATTGATGCAAGACCTTCAGGGCAAGTTAAGTTGACCATTCTTTTGTTCTTTAGGTTGTGTCGCTTGCCAGACATTTGTACAGGTTTTCAATTGTGACGTCATAATAAAATGCTGTCATCTGATTGTGACGTCATAATAGTATAAGTCAATGAGTGCATCCATGTGGAATACACATCTCCCACATAGAATATCCACAAGGGACACATGTATCTTTCATACGCAGAAGTGGGAAAATACTTGTTACAGATGAGAGTTCTGTACTAAACAATACAATAGACGTGATATTTACCGTTACAAACTCATCAAATGAGATCTGGTTGTCCCCATTTATATCAGCTTCACTGATGGTCTTGTCAGCTATACTTCCCAGCTGTAACAAAAAAAACATACTTGTCAGCTATACTGCCCAGTAGTAAGTAGCCCAGAGAGTCTGTATTATTATATTGCTCACCTGGATAATAAGCAACCATGGTAAAATATTGTCATTTAAAATATATTACTGCAACTATTTCCAGATATTGGCTCTGTCTCTCAGCAACACCCCTCCCTCTTGGGGTCTATCTCTCTCTCTCCCCCACCCCCACCCAAGAACAACCCTCCATTTGTACAAAATGTATTCCCATTTGTCCAAGGATGCTCTACACAAAAATTGGTAAAAATCCTTCCATTCATACAAAAGAAGGATTTTAAATATTTGTTCATATGTTCTCCCTAATGTGCCCACCCCTCTGCCACCCAGGGGGACATTTATTAGAAATTGAATTCCCCTTGCCCAAGAATGTTCTTGACAAAAATTGGTTAAAATCCCTCCATTCATACAGAAAGAGAAGGATATTAAAAATTCACCTCAATTTCCACATCCTCCATTTATGCAAAATTATTAAGTCCTCATTTGCCCAATGGATGCTCCCAGCCAAATTTAGTCTAAGTTGACTGAGCTGTTCAAGACTAGAAGCGTTTTAAAGTGAAGGTTGGCGGATGACAGGCGACGGACGCCACGCATAAGCTCACTTGCCCTTCAGCAAACTAGTACATATGACACAACTATTAATTGATTTAGGCGATAAATAGTTATCCTAATCTAGTGAGATTTAGGATATTGTACCTGTTCCTCTGTGATATTGTCACCGACCATCATATGAAGTACAGCCAACAGCTCATCCCTTGAAATCTTGTCATCTCCATCCAGATCATACATCTTGAAAGCAACTGGAAGGTACGAAACAATGAGCATTATTATTATAATCTTCCTGATGTATTGATAAAACTCCTGGTGATATATATACCCCTCACAAAATAGTTAAACAAACTTCAAATGAAATTTTGTTTCAGTCGAAAGTTAAAATATATCTGAATATAACTTATAGTACGTGTACAATGTAAACGTACCTCACCGTAACATTATTCCCCTCACATGTTATTTGTAAAATTAGATGCATGGCTCTGGAATATTTTATTTAACTCATTCACCCCTGAAATTTCATAATGAACTTTGCCAACCTTTGAATTGACATGAACAGGTTGAAGATCATGGCATGTGTGTTGTGGCATGAAGTGAAAGGAAACAAAGTTAATATTTACAGGAGAAGATTGCTGATTTGAGTATCAACTGATATTATTTCTAGGGGTAGTTTAGAATGTTTTTTTCCTCAAAAATGTTCTTTGGAAGATAGTCTGGAAAGAATTTTGATGAGAATGCCTTGATTGTCGTGTGGGGACTTGATGTGTGGAATCAATGGCAACTTCACTATGAAATATTTTATTTGTTAAACAAAGCCTTCTCACTACACCAATAAACCCTACAATACATTATCTTATTAAAAAAATTAACGGAAGTGAAAATGCCCCAGGTATACTTCAACACCATGATAGATGTTTTAGAAGCAGAACTAGTGTTTAGTATCAATAAGTGGATGCCTGGTAGTCTGGAGAACTTCAGTTAATGTACCTCCGGTCTGAGTATTATAAGGCATCAAAGGGCTTGTTACTTACATTTGAGTTTCTCCTCTCTGGAGTTCAATTTGTTTTTTGTCTGGTTTGACTTGGTTGGTCGAAACCTTGCCAGTACTCGCATAAACTGTCTAAAATTTACCGTCTCATCATTGCTGAATAAATAAAGGAAAAACATTTCTGCAATCACTTTATTTCTTCTTTGGTTTTAATAATATTTTATTTCATTTGCCATATATTACAAGTACATTCGTCTCATAAAAGTTTGATTCATAAATGGAATATCAGTAATTTTCTATTAGGAAAATAAATCTAGCCTTTGCTGCAAATACAACACATCGGGATATTTGATTCCTCAATGTTTGATTTATGGAAGTTTGTGAAATTATATGGGGTACATTGGGATATTGTATAAATTTTTGGCAAAAAAACCCTGATTCACAAAAAAATCTTTTGTTTGGCCAAAAACACATCTATATTTTTAAACTTGGATGATGTACCTTTCCTGGAAAAATGCATGTACTATCCTGTCTCCAAGTGGATTGATTGCAAGTTCTGGAATGCGAAGAAAATCTTCTCGGCTGGAAAAATAAGAGAGATAAGTTCAGTTTAGCTAACTATAAGAACATTGTAAAAGTCATTTTTTTCACATAACATTAGCAGAATGTGTGAATGTGTTTCTAACAAACTTTAAAATATTATTAGACTTGATGACTACCAGAAACTTCCCCTACCTTGAAGGTGTTACAGAGAAACCTACAACCCTTAGGGTCATTACTAGGATGTTTACTACTCTGTAAACAACCAAGTAATCATCCTTACGGTTGTATGTATGAATCTCTGGTAAACCCTTAATGAAGGGGATATGATTATTTCTCTCCCATCCCTAAGGGTTGTATGTATGAATCTCTGGTAAACCCTTGAGAAAGGGGATATGACTATTTCTCTCCCATCCCTAAGGGTTGTATGTATGTATCTCTGGTGAACCCTTAAAGAAGAATCTGGAACTGGTAAAACGGGAGATAATTTTGTGAATGGTGGGACAAATAATCTCACTTCCACTGATAGGTATAAAGTTTCATCAAATATTAGTTAAACAAGGCAAGGTACTGACAAGCATATGTATTAAAATATGTATTAAAAACTCTCCTACTTTTGTGCATTCCTTATTATTTTAAGAAAACTTCCATTTGTAAATAGAGCTATATTGGACACGAGTGTATATTAACAAAGGAATATAGTGTTTGTTCTGATCGTAAGTACTGACAAAGGAGACCATATGGTCATTGAGCTGTGTCTGCAAAAAGCTGACCAACACTACTGGTACACATTTGATGCCTAAAATGTAATTTCTATACCCAAGATTATTATTTATATGGAATGTGACCATCAGTTCTCGATAAAGAATTTCTGGAATCCTAATTTTCAGATTAAAAAGTACAATTACAGTTAAAGAAATATGTTCAAATAGGCCTAGAGATTGACTTTCAAACAATTTAGTGACAATATATTCCTCTATATTTTTTTTCAAGGAACATGAAGATAATACAGGGTTCTTCATCAAACCCATACCTTAAAACTCCATTGCTACTCTTGTCAAGACTTGTGAATCGGCTGTAAAGTCGTACGATCTGATTGTGTGAAACTGAAAAAAATCAAAACGAACCAAGTGAAACAGTGCATCTGAATTATTGACAATTCTGAAGAAATGTGTTTTTATAATTATAATTGTTTTAAGTGTCTGTTTTTCAATAAATCATGTGCTACATGTATTAATGAATAATTGAAATTTACATATGGGGGAGACTACACATGCTCAGAATTAAAAGCATAAATAAAATGTGTATTTGCAATTGTAAACCCTAGGAAAACAAAACACTTTAAAATAGCATATTTAGAGCTGTTCTTTCAGATTATATCATCAGATCTCAGATGATTGGAATAATTTAGCAAATTCATTAATTGAAAAGACTCAATTTTAGGGTGCAAAATCAGGAGTCTCTCTCCAAAATAGGGCGAGTTGACAAGTACGGATATCTACATTCTGTTTGCTCTCAGGAAGACAAAATTATTTTGGTAGACTGTAATCTCTGTATCGGCAGTTTATCACTGGGACTTATTTATACGGGCTTTAGACAGGACTAGTATATTGACCAAGTCTGTTGACTCTCTGTGTACCCATATTGGAATCTCAACAACTTCACGCATGTAACAGACACACTCCTAAGTAAAAGGTCAATTCCAACCATACATATCCAACCGCATGTGCACAAAGTCTTGTCCATATAACTCCATCTATCTTTAATTTCTCACTAAAAACTGAAAGAAAATCAAATTTATGGTGGGAGTAAACCAACGAACCATAAATTGCTCATCTGATATTAAATGGAGCTTGAAAACACATCTCACATCTCTGATTTCCAAAGTGAACCATGTGTAAAAGTGTCAAAATTACTTAATGTTGAGAGATTTCAAAATGTTTATATCATTTGAGTCAATTTCATATCTTTAAAAAAACTGATAGTCTACAACAATCTATGCCTCATGAAAAACCTAACACTTAACATTTTAAAGGTCTCTAAAAAATTCCCCCACTTTCTACCTTTTAAAGGTGTCCAGTTAATTCATATAGCAAACTATGTTCATAGTCCTTAATATTTTAATATTATCACCCAAGCCATCTTTATTATCATCTGTATCAAGAAGCTGTTTCACGGTTTTAGCGAATTTACCAATGACCTTTAGGTGGATCAAGGTAAACAATTTGAACAAACTTTAAAGCCTTTTATCCCAGCATATTCATGCAACTGGCCAATAATCTTCTCACTAGCTTTTGGTTATGCAGAAAAGGGTTGATAAACACATTTGACCCCAACAAACTCTAAAGTGGGTCAAGGTCATTCATTTGAACAGCTCAGAGTTGATTGCCCTTCATCCATGCATGCTAGGAAACAACTTCATAGACATATTTGACACCTATGACCTTTAAAGTGGATCAAGGTCAATGATTTGAACTAAATTGATAGCCTTTCATTCAAGTATTTGCATGCTTCTGGCCACTAGTCATCACAATATGGCTTATTAAATTGGTTATTTAGGTAAAGTAGTTAATTTGAAAATTTGAACCTAATGTTTTTGAAATTAGAAATTAAAGACGAAACATTGTTACCAAACATTGTAATTTAGCACATTCATGACTGTTTAATTTTGCTTTTCTTCGTTCACCTTTCACCAGGGCTCAGAAAGTGAGAAACCGGTCACCTCATAATCATCCGATGGTACATGTATATGCAATCATCTTATAGCAAATACAAACAAAGAGGCCCAATGGGTCTGAATCGCTCATCTGGTATTAATCTCACACTTGTAATCTTAATAGTGGACTAAAATACAGCTACAGGTAGAATATCAGTGTTCGAATCATATGAACCTATTAAAAAAAATTAAACATATGATGCCTGTGACCTTGAATGTTGAACAAGGACTTCCAACCCAGCATGCTTTTGGCAAAATATCCTTACCCTGGACCTTTTGGTTATACATAACAAGTCTTTTAAAGATTTAAACATATATTGACCACTGTTACCTTGAATGTGGGTGAAACTTGATAGTCCTTCCTCCCAGCATGTTAATGGCCAAATATCATCACCCTTTGCCCTTTGTTTATTGAGAAGAAGTCGTTTAAAGGTTTTAACAAGGTTGACCCTATGACGTTGAATATGGGTCAAGGAATTTTCTTTTCGCAAACTTTGTCAGACTTCATCCTAGGACCCTATCAACCAAATATCACGCTTCTGGACCTTTCAGTTAATCAGAAGAAGTCGTTCAAAGGTTTAACAAATTTGACCCCTGTGACCTTGAATATGGGTCAAGGTCATTTCTTTTAACAAAATTTATCAGGCTTCATCCTAGGAACCTATCAGCAAAATATCATGCTTCTGGGCCTTTTGGTAACTCAGAAGAGGTTGTATTAAGGTTTTAACAAATTTGACCCCTGTGACCTTGAATATGGGTCAAGGTCATTTCTTTTTGCAAACTTTGTGGTGCTTTATCACATTTCCCTATTGGCAAAGATCATGCTTCTGGGCCTTTTTTGTTAATCAGAAGAAGTTGTTAAAAAAGTTTTTAAAAATTTGACCACTGTAACCTTAATACATGTCAAGGTCATATCTTTTCGCAAACTTTGTCAGCCATTATCCTAGAAACATATCAACCAAATAGCATGCTTCAGGGCCTTTCAGTTAATCAGAAGTTGTTCAAAGGTTTTAACAAATTTGACCCCTATGACCTTGAATATGGATCAAGGTCAATTATTTTCACAACCTTGTCTGGCTTTATCCAAGAAACTTATTAGCCAAATATCATGCTTCTGGGCCTTTTAGTAAATATTTTTCCATGATAACTTTATATAATTTTAAAACTTAGCAGTACCACGGAATAAATACTACACACTATAAATAGAGGGGCGCCTAGACCATGAAACACGCCACGTAATATTATGATGACAACGTTCATAGTAGCGTAGATGAAGTAATTACAAGCTGACTGTGCAGATAAATGAAAACTAGACTTTTTGGGTGCATAGAAATGAAATTGAAGTCGTTTTTTTTTTCTTATCTGTTGTTTGCCATCTTTTGCCTTAAGGTAATAGGATTGTGTCACCATATCTCAGTAGAATTTCTTCAAATTTTATAGTTATATTGCTTTAAAGTAAAGAAAATTTTCTGCCACAAAGAAAATATAGGTTGTCAGAATTTTAAGGATTTTAAATGGAAATTTATGTAAAAAGGAATGGATTTTGAAAAGAAAATGAAAGACACAATATTTTTACAAAATAATGTCAATAAAAATGATACTGACATATATTAGTATTACATTAATGTATNGCATTTTGGTTATTCAGAAGAAGTTGTTTAAAGGTTTTTTAATACAATTGACCCCTGTGACCTTGAATATAATTGAAGGTCATTCATTTGAACAAACTTGGTAGCCCTTCACCCAAGCATGCTACTGGCCAAATATCATCTCCCTGGGCATTTTGGTTATTGAGAAGAAGATGTTTAAAGTTTTTGACATATTTGACCCCTGTGACCTTGAAAATAGGTGAAGGTCATTAATTTTAACAAACTTTGTAGCCCTTCATCCAAGTTTGCTTCTGGCCAAATATTGACACCCTAGGCCTTTCGGTTATTAAGAAGAAGTCGTTTAAAGTAAAATATTGACGCCGGGCCACGGCATAAGCTCACTTGGCACTTCGTGCCAGGTGAGCTAAAAATCCCTGAATTAATGCCTGGATTGCTTTGAAATACTTTAATATAGAGAGAACACACTGTTCTGTCAATAATAAACATACAATATTCATCAGTTTAATATTAAACATTAGAATTTGCGGAAATTGTGATACTGTCTCCCTACATTGGATTTTCAGCTAGGGATGTACTTCCTGTTTCCGTTTAGCAATATACTCCAATGACCTTAATGGCTCAGATATTGGTCACTCAACAGGTTCACTCAGGGCACAATGGTGCATATCGGTAATAATCCTGCATCTGGGTAACAGTTACCCATTTGAGTAACAATTTTATTACTGAAATGTGGAATAAAGTGAAATTAAAACAGTAACTGCTGGATTATTACCCATGTGCGCCGTTGAGCCCACCACAACCTGCTCAATGCTTCAATTAACACTTCTAGCAAAGGGGTTTGTTACAAATGTCGGAACTACACATATGCTATATTGATAAGGGTCAAAGCACACATAAACATACATGTATGTTATGTATGCTGTGACACGTATCAGTATAGCATATTTGTATTTCAGACATTCTGCTTCTGCCTAGTACTCTAATGGCTACCATCAACGAGTTGATAATATTCATTTGTAACGAACCCTCTGTGCTGGAAGTGTTAATTGAAGCATTGTAGGTCACACCCAAGGATTGAATTTAATTTTTAAATCCACAAGCAAACTGTTGCTTGTGGTTTCAAAAGTTAAAAGCAAATTGACAAATCAAGAAGCAAAATATTTGGACGTCAAAATTTGTTTGGGGAAATCCCGGCACACCTCACACCATATTTTGACAGTGTTGTTATCCTTGTCGGCAATGTAGCCTATGTCATGTAGGTCACGCTGCCATTTCTGTACTGTTTTTATTTGTACGAGAGGCTGAGCTTCGGTCTTCGCCGGTGGTTCTGTTAGTGTATGCACTTTTTTAGTGCCTTCAGTGCCGTCAGGTTTCAATTTTCTTTTTTAAAAAAACCTAATCATCGTTTGAGCTTTGACATTTGACGCTGTCTGCACATATATATGTTCCGAACGACACCCTCGTTATTGCCGAGACTAAACGAGACTTAGCACTTCTGCTATATTTAGACACGCACACATGTGTACAACTTACAGATAATGTTTTGATCGGCACATCGACGGGTCCTGACTATAGACCGGCACTTGTTACAAATAGATCGATGATCCGGAAATATTGACACAATTTATACACACATGCTGCAGTAAAATACCAGACGCAAGTATTTTCGTTTTGGAACCCATATCAAAATGCAAATCTCAAAATCCTGACGCAAATTGCGTGTAAATAAGAGTAAATTTCGAACCCTGACACCACACATAAATATATATGTGTATGTTATGGGTGCTGTGACACATATCAGTATAGCATATGTGTATTTCAGAAATTTGTCAGGTTGGGCACAACGGTGCATATGGGTAATAATCCTGCATTTGGGTAACATCTTTGTATGTTATGGTTGAATGCACTTCGAATCTACTTTCACTATCCTATATAAAAAAATAAAATTTTGTACTTCACTTACGTTATTGAAAATCGCCATATCTATTGGTTATTACAAACAACTTTTGGATGAACAGTTTTTTGTTTTGAAAGTATTTCACGACCTTTGAAGCCTTAGAAAAGTCGGGACATCTAAAATCATAAAAATGTCAAAACACGAAAAAACGTTCAACCAAAATTTGTTTTTAATAATCATATAAATAGCGATTTTTAATAAAGATAGTGAAGTACAAAATTTTGGTTTTTTATATAGGATAGTGAAAGTAGATTCGAATCAACCATAACATACAAAGATGTTACACAAATGCAGGATTATTACCCATATGCGCCGTTGTGTCCAACCTGTTCGTAAGGAACCCCTGTGACCACTGGCTGTCACTGTGTGCTTCAAGCAAGGCAAATTATCTTATTATGTCTACTTACATCCGGTCTCGTTCTGTATTTCATTTAGTTCATTTTCTTGGAGTTGAATGGAAGCTCGAGTCCCCATAGTGTATTTTGAGTTGGATCATAAGCGAGTTCACTGGAACGTGAAGACACAACCTGGAAATGCTAGGCCATCGACTGACTTCCAGTGTTGTTATACCCGAAAGGTGAAGGTCACAAGGCGCTGCGTGAAAGACGTGATGTAGCACGGTAACATATTTATTTAATAAAAGATGTTTATTTCAAAACCATCTATGTTATTGAATAAATCGTTATAGCATGCATTAATGCTGCAGAATTGATACGAACATCACTAACTAAAAGTAAATACTTTATAGTTTACCAGCATTTAAAGAAAATATTCCCTGGGTTATCACATTGACACCCCGCATGAAAAGTCTCGTTGATGCAGCTATGTGAAATTCAAGGTATGTATAAACAGTGTCATGCCTACAAGTGTCAAAACAACAACATACACAGCGTTAGAAATTATAGACAGTTAAAAACTATTGTGGTAACTTTTCGCATCGAAATCGTGGTTGGTAGACAACAAACTGTCTTTGACGACAGGCACAGGGGCACGCAACTTCTTCAAGTTCTTGTTTGACTTTCAGTCTCTGTGTAACCTGAGGTATAACGTACGCAGAGGGACACTCAATACCTGGGCTATAACGAACCCAGCGACACTTAACACCTGGGATATAACATACCAAGCTACTGAAAGCCTAACGGGATTAATCAGGTCCAGTACACTCTGCGATTATTGAGCCATATATATTATACATTTGATTTGTAGCTGTAAAGACCTATATTGTCTAGTCATATGTTTCCGCACATTCTATATGTTATACTACACACTGACCAAAATGGCGTTATGTATTTCCGCGCAGGCATTTTATCAAGCTATATCTCGTAACTACTTGACCTGCTGGACACAACACAAGGATATTTGAGACGTTTGGCCATCGTCTGTAAACTGACACAAAAAATACCAGATTAAGTTTGCCTGGAAAACAAGAATTAATCACTCACTGACAGATTGAAAAACATGCATAATTATGCAGTTTTTCCTAATGCACTTTTAATCTTGCTCAAAATGAACCCATACCTGAAAAAACGGTGACATATTTCATTCATAAACCAGTCTTTTTTGTAGTCTGACAAACGTACAAAAATGTTGTATGCAAATGAGGCCACATCTCCTCGCCAATTTTTTTCCACTCCCGAAGAGCCAAAGAGACATTCTTATAGTGATAAACAGTGTTTTCAATGAAACGTAAACCTTGTAATGCAATGATTACTTCCAATTTTCACCAATTTTAAACAGAACAAAATGAAAAATAACTTACCATCAACCGAAACCGATATAAGACTGCAGAAAAAATAATAATAACAGATTCTATATTATAAATAAATAAAATAAATAAATTCATAAAATTACATGAATTCGTTCAAGTTGACATATATTGAAAAATCAATTAAAAATATGAAATTTAAAAAAAAATGTTTTGATAATTAATTTGACGATCAAAGATATTTTTAGTCATCTGATGGTGGGCTATTCAAATCATCCTGCATCTGTGGTCCTTCGGTCCGTCGTCCGTCCTTAAACAGTTCTTGTTTATTTCGGTATTTCTCAAGAAGTACCAGAAGGATCTTTCTCAAATTTTTATATGTAGGTTCCCCTAGGTCCTAAGCTGTGCAGGGCAACTTTTGAGACTGATCAGATAAACAACATGGCCGACAGGCAGCCATCTTGGATTGTAATAATGAAAGTTTGTTATCGCTATTTCTCGGGAAGTACGGGAGAGATCTTTCTGAAACTTTATATGTAGGTTCCTCTTGTTCCCTTGTTGTGCAGCAGTACCTGAAATGGACGGTCTCCTGCGCGTCAATGGCGATTAAAGTCTTGCTCGGTCAACCAAAAGATAGTTTGGGCAACTGTTGAAAAATTTATGAATAAAAGAAATTATAGTCCCTTCCACATTAACTGGGGGGTGGGGGTGGGCAGTACATTATTCAGTTGTCATTACTTCAATTTGAATCAAATTGTCCGTGATTTAGAAAATGTAATGATTTTTTTTACAGTTTTTCCGTATAAATACACCCAGGGTGTCTTCTTTGAGGTGCAAGTTTTGTGTATTTCTTTGGGAAACATGTCAGGTTTTAACTAGGCAATGTTGAAGAATTAAAAAAATAATGTTTTATTCTGTTTTACATATTACAAACATTGTCATGATATATGTAATTTAAATTAGCTGAAGCATGCATGGTATTAAATGCTGTTGAAATATTTCTTCCAAAAATTATTTGGGCCACCAATGTCATTTGGGCCAGTGCTTCAAATTTTTACTCGCCCAAAATTGTTCACGTTTACTTTTGAAACTGATCAGTTAAACAAAATGGACTACCGACAGCCATCTTTGATTTTTGACATGGAAGGTTTGTTAGTACTATTTCTCAGGAATAATTAGAGGGATCTTTCTCAAATTTGATATGTGGGTTCCCCTTGATCCCTCGTTGTGCATGTTATATTTTGAGACTGATCATAAAAACAAAATGGCTAAAGGAAGAACTAAACAGATCTTTCTCATATTGCAATGATCGATTCTATTTCTTTCACATTAAGTACTGAACTAGTAAATATGTGAAATGACAAACCCACTTTGAAGGTTGGCCTTCATACACATCAGTATTAAGTCTAGATCAAAAGTTACCTCAAGGTGCATTTACTGTTAACATGACTCGATCAAACAGATTAGCAGAAAGAAGAGAAAAGATCGAACTGACAAAGAACTAATGAAGATGGTACAATGTAGGGCGCCAAGATCCCTCTGGGATCTCTTGTTTATTCCAAATGAAGCTTTTTAGCCCACCATCATCTGATTGTGGGCTATTCAAATCACCCCTGCGTCCTGGGCTATTCAAATCACCCCTGCGTCCGTCCATTGTCCGTCCATAAACAATCCTTGTTATCGGTATTTCTCAAGAAGTACCAGAGGGATCTTTCTCAAATTTTATATGCAGGTTCCCCTTGGTCCTTAGCTGTGCAGGGTTACTTTTGAGACTGATCGGATAAACAACATGGCCGACAGGCAGCCATCTTGGATTTTGATAGTGAAAGTTTGTTAATGCTATTTCTCAGGAAGTACCAGAGGGACCTTTCTCAAATTTTATATGTAGGTTTCCCTTGGTCCTGAGCTGTGCAGGGCAACTTTTGAGATTGATCGGATAAACAACATGGCCGACAGGCAGCCATCTTGGATTTTTATATTGAAAGTTTGTTATCGCTATTTCTCGGGAAGTATTTGAGGGATCTTTCTCAAATTTTATATGTAGGTTCCCCTTTGTCCTGAGCTGTGCAGGGCAATTTTTGAGATTGATCGGATAAACAACATGGCCGACNACTGGGTTATTCTTGTTCTGTGTTGAGGATAAGACTGGGTTATTCTTGTTCTGTGTTGAGGATAAGACTGGGTTATTCTTGTTCTGTGTTGTGTATAAAACTGGGTTTTTAGCTCACCTGGCACCCGTGAGTCGTCCGTCGTCCGTCTGTCCGTCCGTCCGTCCTCGTCCGTCAACTTACAGATATGAGTACGAAATCGCTAAAAATTGGTGGGGATGTTTCGGGGCCTTGAAAGTGGGACTTAGCTATAAATTTGCTTTAAAATGCTATTCGTCCTTAATCCCTAAATGAATATTGCAGACAGGGCCTTAAAAGGAGAAATCTATTCAGATTTAGGTTTAAATGCTTTCTGATAGCTTTACTGACAAATAGTTACCCACTGCTGACCAAAACTACCATCATGGAAAACAAGCATCTTAGAACATTTCATTGAAAGTTGAAAAGTTACCATTCTCCCTACTCAGTCTTTGTAGTCGGATGACCGTTTAGGCCCATGGGCATCTTGTTTCGTAGAACCTGCCTTGAATTAAATGTCACCTACTCGGTAACAGAAATACTCACGTTCAAGCATAAGTCATTCTGATGGTCGGGCGAGGTCCACCAGGATAGAGGGTCCTAGTGAAAATGATAAGAGTTCGGGTTCGTTCAGTATGGGCTAGTCAGCACACGTCCGTTGCATTCAGTAGTTCAATCACCCATGACCACGGTATGCTACTGTACACTGCTACCTACACCCTGATCCATCTCACCCATGACCACAGTATGCTTCTGTACACTGCTACCTACACCCTGATCCATCTCACCCATGACCACGGTATGCTACTGTACACTGCTACCTACACCCTGATCCATCTCACCTTCACTTCACATTTCTTCCTCCTCATCCTTCCATTACTGTGACTTGCAGTTACACACTCTATGTATCCTACAGCTGTCTTCTGTAAAATGTTTTATATTGTCTCAGTAGCTGTAATATGATTTATAACTCCTTACTGAACATGCAGTTGAATTGATCATGTTCTCTTGCTTTCTTTCTTCTTTTCAGTTTTTTAGCTCACCTGCTCAAAAGACTAGTGAGCTTATAATTATGCCATGGTGCAGCGTCCGTCCGTCCTTTCGGTTGTCCGTCTGTCCGGTGTCAACTTTTTATTCTAAACAACTTCTTTTCAGTAACCAAAAGGCATAGAATGATGATATATGGCCATTACTATGCTGGAATCAAGGGCTACCAAGTTTGTTCAAATGAATGACCTTCATCCATTTTCAAGGTCACAGGGTTAAATATGTTAAAATCTATGAACAACTTCTTCTGAATAACCAAGAGGCCTAGGGTGATGATATTTGGCCATTAACATGCTGGGATGAAGGGCTACCAAGTTTGTTCAAACAAATGACCTTCACCCATTTTCAAGGTCACAGGGTTCAAATATGTTTAAAACCTTTAAACAACTTCTTCTGAATACCCAAGAGCCATAGGATAAAGATATTTGACCAGTAACTTGCTGGGATGAAGGCTACCAACTTTGTTCAAATAAATGACCTTCATCCATTTTCAAGGTCACAGGGGTCAAATATGTTAAAATCTTTGAACGACTTCTTTTGAACAACCAAGAGGCCTAGTGTGATGATATTTGGCCAGTAACATGCTGGGATGAATGGCTACCATTTTGTTCAAATAAATGACCTTGACTTATATTCAAGGTCACAGAGGTCAAATATGTTTAAAACATTTAAACGACTTCTTATGAGTAACCGAGAGGCCTAGGGTGTTTTGATTTGGCCAGTAACATGCTGGGATGAAGGGCTACCAGCTTTGTTCAAATAAATGACCTTTACATATATTCAAGGTCACAGGGGTCAAATATGTTCAAAACCTTTGAATGACTTATACTTAATAATCAAAAGGCCAAGGGTGATGATATTTTGCTAGAAGCAAGCTGGATTGGAAGACTATAAACTCTGTTCAACCTAATGTCCTTGTTCGACATTCAAGGTCACGGGCGTCATATATTTAAATCTTTTAATAGGTTCTTATGAATCAAACACTGATATTCTGCCTGTAGTTGTATTTTAGTCCACTTTTAAGATTACAAGTGTGAGATTAATACCAGGTGAGCGATTCAGGCCCATTGGGCCTCTTGTTGTTTTTAGATAATTGTAGACTTGTGTAACATGAAATAAAAGGAAATTGAAGCTAAAAGGTGACCTTAATCCTATGTACAATTAAAATCTGCCACACTTGTTTAAGTACAACTTAACGTCAGTCAGTGCAAATATATACTACAAGCGTTATTGCAGGTATAAGATAGGTTACTGTATAATGAAGCCAACTAACAAGACTATCAAGCTGATTATACTGTTTCTCTTTATTGCAGACTGTAACATCATGTCTGCTCTTAAAGTAGCAAAAAGCTGTCGGCCATTTCTCAGGCCAAAATATCAGCCCCTGGTGATACAGACTGCCACGTCAGTTAACCTTTTTGATGTAGACAAAAAGGGTGGATACAGGAATGATTTGACGGATAATAGTAGGAAGCATATAATTGACACGGCAAAGTCATGGAGGGGTGAACTGAAGAAATTCAGAAACGAATTGAAAGACATATTACATTTACGTCACTTGGACAGGTGGAATCAAGGTCATGGAACTTATGACTATTTGTGGAAGTTTGGTGGTCAGCAGAGCATTGAAAACTGGACACTGACAGCAGACAGAGACAACCTGGAGGGTAAGAGTTCAGCAAACCTGACAGTCAGTAAGGATAATAATGCTCTTTTCCATGGATATCTCTGTCAGGAAGTGCCCCAGGATGGTGTCTCAAAGAGCGCTGGATACTGCAATATAAGATCTCCTTCTAATTATGTAAGTCTTGTAAGAGTTGTCATTTATATACATGCATACCATGATTTCTTATGTTATCATACTCTTGTATGGGTATTCTACAGGTGTTATTTATAAGTATTCCACTGTTGTCACACTGACATTTAGGTATTCTACAGCTGTTATTTATAAGACTTCCACTGTTGTCACACTGACATTAAGGTATTCTACAGCTGTTATTTATAAGTATTCCACTGTTGTCACATTGACATTTAGGTATTCTACAGCTGTTATTTTTAAGTATTCCACTGTTGTCACACTGACATTAAGGTATTCTACAGCTGTTATTTATAAGACTTCCACTGTTGTCACACTGACATTAAGGTATTCTACAGGTGTTATTTATAAGTATTCCACTGTTGTCACACTGACATTTAGGTATTCTACAGCTGTTATTTATAAGTATTCCACTGTTATCACACTGACATTTAGGTATTCTACAGCTGTCATACTGCTATAAAGTATTTTACAACTGTGGTATTCTCATATTAGTATTCCTGCTATCACACTAATACATGTACTTAGAGCTTGTACAGCTGCCCTACATATTCCCATAAAGTATTTTATAGCCGTGGTATTCTAACATAAGTATTCAACAGTTCTCTTATTATTACTAACGTATAAGTATTTTTAAAGCTATCACTTATTATTGTTATAAAATATTGGTGATGGCTCCTGATACTTATCGGTGTATAAAATGTTAACTCACCAAAATTAGAGCCAAGTGGGCTTCTGCATTAGCGTGAGCTCCTGCCATAAAGTGCAATATGAAGCATTTAGGTAACATAATCTTACCTGCAGTACCTAGACACTTCACAAGATAAGATTCCATTTTATTTCCATGAAGTCTGGTAGGCTATATATTATATCATTATGTATTTCATATGTCTGTCATCTATAACACTCCTGTAATGTATGGCTGGGTTAACTTTGGCATTTTTGTATTTAAAAAATTAGAATATCCGACTAACTAATCTGTAAGTTTTGTGATCGACATGGGTCATCAGTGTTAGGAATATTGATGCATAATTTGAGGGGAACTGATGTACCTTTCTGTACGATTTGATGTTAGTTGTACCCCCTGCGATGAAGTTGAGGGTATACTGGTAACAGGTTATCTGTCAATCTGTCTCTCCATATGGCTCTCTCTCCAAACAGTGCAGTGCTCAGTCAATACAGGGTAACAGGTCTTTGAGCTAGACATTGACTTTCAGTTTTTGTTTAATTATATTTAAAGCATTTCATGGCAATTTATTTCACAGATTTCATTCAGGAGGAAACAAGTCATCGAAGATATAGGATGCTACACTCATCTAGTGATGCGTGTACGAGGGGACGGAAGACCCTATTTTATTAACCTTATGATGAAACGGACATTTGACATAACATGGGCTGACCAGTACAACTACAATTTATATACTAGAGGCGGACCCTACTGGCAAACAGCAAAGGTAACTACACTATATACTAGAGGGGGACCCTACTGGTAAACAGCAAAGGTAAATACATTTTATATACTAAAGGGGGACCCTACTGGTAAACAGCAAAGGTAACTACACTTTATATACTAGAGGGGGACCCTACTGGCAAATAACAAAGGTAAATACATTTTATATACTAAAGGGGGACCCTACTGGCAAACAGCAAAGGTAACTACACTATATACTAGAGGGGGACGCTACTGACAAACAGCAAAGGTAACGACACTTTATATACTAGAGGGGGACCCTACTGACAAACAGCAAAGGTAAATCCACTTTATATACTAGAGGGGGACCCTACTGGCAAATAACAAAGGTAAATACATTTTATATACTAAAGGGGGACGCTACTGGCAAACAGCAAAGGTAACTACACTATATACTAGAGGGGGACGCTACTGACAAACAGCAAAGGTAAATCCACTTTATATACTAGAGGGGGACCCTACTGGTAAACAGCAAAGGTAAATACACTTTATATACTAGAGGCGGACCCTACTGGCAAACAGCAAAGGTAACTACACTATATACTAGAGGGGGACCCTACTGGCAAACAGCAAAGGTAAATACACTTTATATACTAGAGGGGAACCCTACTTGTAAATAGCAAAGGTAAATACACTTTATATACTAGAGGCGGACCCTACTGGCAAACCGCAAAGGTAACTACACTTTATATACTAGAGGGAGACCCTACTGGCAAACAGCAAAGGTAACTACACTATATACTAGAGGGGGACCCTACTGACAAACAGCAAAGGTAGCTACACTTTATATACTAGAGGGGGACGCTACTGGCAAACAGCAAAGGTAACTACACTATATACTAGAGGGGGACCCTACTGACAAACAACAAAGGTAACTACACTATATACTAGAGGGGGACGCTACTGACAAACAGCAAAGGTAAATACACTTTATATACTAGAGGGGGACCCGACTGGCAAACAGCAAAGGTAAATACACTTTATAAATATACTAGAGGGGGACCCTACTGGTAAACAAAAAAGGTAACTACACTTTATATACTAGAGGGGGACGCTACTGGCAAACAGCAAAGGTAACTACACTATATACTAGAGGGGGACCCTACTGACAAACAACAAAGGTAACTACACTATATACTAGAGGGGGACGCTACTGACAAACAGCAAAGGTAAATCCACTTTATATACTAGAGGGGGACCCTACTGGTAAACAGCAAAGGTAAATACACTTTATATACTAGAGGGGAACCCTACTTGTAAATAGCAAAGGTAAATACACTTTATATACTAGAGGCGGACCCTACTGGCAAACAGCAAAGGTAAATACACTTTATAAATATACTAGGGGGGGACCCTACTGGTAAACAGCAAAGGTAAATACACTTTATATACTAGAGGGGAACCCTACTTGTAAATAGCAAAGGTAAATACACTTTATATACTAGAGGGGGACGCTACTGACAAACAGCAAAGGTAACGACACTTTATATACTAGAGGGGGACCCTACTGGCAAATAACAAAGGTAAATACATTTTATATACTAAAGGGGGACGCTACTGGCAAACAGCAAAGGTAACTACACTTTATTTGCAAGAGGGGGACCCTACTGGCAAACAGCAAAGGTAAATACACTTTATAAATATACTAGAGGGGGACCCTACTGGTAAACAGCAAAGGTAACTGCACTTTATATACTAGAGGGGGACCCTACTAGTAAACAGCCAAGGTAACTACACTTTATATACTAGAGGGGGACCCTACTGGTAAACAGCAAAGGTAAATACACTTTATATACTAGAGGGGGACCCTACTGGTAAACAAAAAAGGTAACTACACTTTATATACTAGAGGGGGACCCTACTGACAAACAGCAAAGGTTACTACACTTTATATACTAGAGGGGGACTCTACTGGTAAATAGCAAAGGTAAATACACATTATATACTAGAGGCGGACCCTACTGGCAGACCCTACTGGCAAACACCAAAGGTAAATACACTTTATGTACTAGAGGGGGACTCTACTGGCAAACACCAAAGGTAAATACACTTTATATACTAGAGGGGAACCCTACTGGCAAACACCAAAGGTAACTACACTTTATTAGGTCACCTGAGCTTTGCGCAAGTGACCTATTCCAATCACTTTCTGTCCGTCGTCGTCCGTTGTGCATCCTGCGTAAACTTTTTACATTATCAACATCTTCTCAAGAACCAGTGGATGGAATTTTTTCAAACTTGGTCAGAATCATCCTTGGTAGATGAGGCTACCAAATTGTAAAATTGAGATTCCTACCCCCACCCCTGGGGCCAAGGCGGGCCCCCAAAGGGAAAATTAACCAATATTTCAAAAATCTTCTTCTCCAGACTCAGAGGTATTACAGTCATTTTCTCTGCATGGATGGAAAGATCATCAGGGGCTTTATTGAAATTGTAAATTACAGGACCCCCTAGCTAATTGTTCTCCCTTGGGGAGGGGTAAAGTTTACTTTAGTTTATATAGGGAAACAACACTTTTGGGTATATTTTGACAATTTTCTGTTGGAAATTATTTTTACTTGGTGAGAATTATCCTTGGAGGAGGAAGATGGTTTTAAATTGTAAAATTGGGATTCCTACCCCAACCCTAGGGGCCAGGGCGGGGCCCAAAAGGGAAAATTAACCAATATTTCAAAAATCTTCTTCTCCAGACTCAGAGGTATTACAGTCATTTTCTCTGCATGGATGGAAAGATCATCAGGGGCTTTATTTAAATTGTAAATTTCAGGACCCCCGAGCTATCCGTTCTCCCTTGGGGAGGGGGTAAAGTTTACTATAGTTTATATAGGGAAACAACACTTTTGGGTATATTTTGACAATTTTCTGTTGGAAATTATTTGTACTTGGTCAGAATCATCTTTGGTGGATGACGGTATCACATTGTAAACTTGGAATTCCTGCCCACTCCCCAGGGGTTAGAGCGGGGCCCAAAGGGAACATTTGCAAATATTTTAAAATTCTTATCCTTTGATGACATGACAAGTATTGTATTTCACTTAGTTTACATGCTGATTTCCACATCACATTTAAACAATAAAATAAAGCTACCAGTACCTATGATATAACTCAGGTGACCGCTAAGGCCCTTGGGCCTCTTGTATACTAAAGGGGGACCCTATTGGCAAACAGCAAAGGTAACTACCCTTTATGTACTAGAGGGGGACCCTACTGGCAAATAACAAAGGTGAATACCCTTTACATACTAGAGGGGGACCCTACTGACAAACAGCAAAGGTAAATACATTTTATATACTAAAGGGGGACCCTACTGGTAAACAGCAAAGGTAACTACACTTTATTTGCAAGAGGGGGACCCTACTGGTAAACAGCAAAGGTAACTACACTTTATATACTAGAGGGAGACCCTACTGACAAACAGCAAAGGTAACTACCCTTTATGTTCTAGAGGGGGACCCTACTGGCAAACAGCAAAGGTAACTACACTTTATATACAAGAGGGGGACCCTACTGACAAACAGAAAAGGTAACTACACTTTATGTTCTAGAGGGGGACCCTACTGGCAAACAGCAAAGGTAAATACACTTTATATACTAGAGGGGGACCCTACTGACAAACAGCAAAGGTAAATACATTTTATATACTAAAGGGGGACCCTACTGGTAAACAGCAAAGGTAACTACACTTTATTTGCAAGAGGGGGACCCTACTGGTAAACAGCAAAGGTAACTACACTTTATATACAAGAGGGGGACCCTACTGACAAACAGCAAAGGTAACTACACTTTATTTGCAACTGGCAATAGAAAAGGTGACTATACAACATATACTAATTGGAGACCCTTCTGGCAAATGGCAAAGGTAACTAGAACTTACTACACCCTATATACTAAAGGGGACCCGACTGGCAAATAACCTAGGTAACTACACATTTTATGCCGTACTGCGGCGTCCGTCCTTCAATTTTTAGCTCACCTGGCCCGAAGGGCCAAGTGAGCTTATGGCATGGTGCGGCGTCCGTCCGGCGTCAACTTTTTACTTTAAACAACTTCTTCTCAGTAACCAAAAGGCCTAGGGTGATGATATTTGGCCAGAAGCATGCTTTGATGAAGGGCTACCAAGTTTGTTCAAATAAATGACCTTCATCAATTTTCAAGGTCACAGGGGTCAAATATGTAAAAATCTTTCATCAACTTCTTCTGAATAACCAAGAGACCTAGGATGATGATATTTGGCCAGTAACATGCTGGGATGAAGGGCTACCAAGTTTGTTCAAATAAATGACCTTGACTTATATTCAAGGTCACAGGGGTCAAATATGTTAAAAACCTTTCAACAACTTCTTCTGAATAACTGAGAGGCCTAGGGTGATGTCATTTGGCCAGTAACATGCTGTGATGAAGGGCTACCAAGTTTGTTCAAATAAATGACCTTG